TAAGGTAATGAAGGAAGGTGGAAAGAAAAACAGAAACGTTTTGGTCCTTCAGGTCTGGAGTTGTGCCTCTCTGGCTTGCTGGGCATAACACTTTGCTGAATGAGCCCCCCAGGTGATCACCCAATTGACACATATTTATCATAACGAAAGACAGGTTGAGTTCAATATCTGCTATTCACTTTTAAAGTCCTCTTTAGAAGGAACAAAGACATTAATATTAGGATTGAAAGGCATAGATAAGTAAATTTGTACAGTACTTCAAATAATAAATGTAATAATACATGATTATAGTACAATGTGAATTGGCAATGTTGACGTATAAAATCTAAGTTTAATTTAACTGTATACTGTATAGCTCATTTTTGTTTTGACTGTGGGCTTTTGTAGTTCATTGCATTGCAAAAAATAAGCTCATTTCAGGTTGCTGGGGTACTATCTGTGATCTGGGGTACTATCTGTGAGGAGTTTGTACGTTCTTCCCTTGTCTGCGGAGGTTTTCTCTGGGTGCTCCAGTTTCCTTTGACAGTCCAAAGACATGCTGGTAGATCAATTGTCCTCTGGGAAAACTGACCCTGGTATGAGTGTGTCTATGTCTGTGTGTTCCCTTGATGGACTGGCATCCCGTCCAGGATACATCCTACCTTGCACCCTAAATTGATGATCCTGAATTGGATGAAATGATTATTACTATTACTATTGTATATCCATATTCAGTACCTGCTTAGTTCAGTACAGGGTCATGGTGTAGTTCTTCTTAGTATTTATTATTAGAAAATATTGGTTTTGGAACCACATTTAACATCTAACTCACAACATCCAATCACAAATGCCTCCCCTTCCTCTGTCTGTGTGCTTGAAGCTCAGCCACTGGGTTTCACTGTCGATCAGGGAAGTGACTGTGGATGTTCGATATAATCGTTGTTTTCAGTCTACACACACAAGAAGTTTCCTAAGATTGTAGACTAACTGAGATCGATCTTCGATCTGTCCTGCAGCGCTACAGTTATTTATCCTGGGTGTCCTTGCAGCTGCGAGCTGTGATGATTTGAATTCAGTTTTAATTGGGCACCGCTCCCTTCCAGGAAGACTCTAGCAGAGCTGGGTGGGGCCTCACTGGAAACATGAAGCCTGAGGTCTGGCCTGTGAGTTATACGTCGGTGATGGAAACCTTGTGTGCATGCACTCAACACAGACGAACACGCAGAGCCCTGGGCTTTTCGCATTCGCTCACACACTCCTCAAACAATGCAGGAAACAGATCTCAGACAATCGACAGCAGAGGCCCTCCAATTCCATTTTGACCTTTGCGTTCTCTTTCCATAAACGTGCAACTCAGGATAGGATGAATCTTGTGTAACGTAGAAACTTTGGTCTAAGAAGCCATTACAATGTGTTGCGTTGTCTTACCTATCCACAACTGGGGATCTGAGGGAGCAAACATACAGGTCAGCAAGAAGATTTCAGTCTTAAGTGTGGTGTTCGGTTTGTTAAAACGTAGACGACACTCATACACATCTATATCTGGATTTTGAACTGAATTGTTTTATTGGAATATTCTCCTTCATTATACAATCATTTTCACACCTATGGATAAAGTACCAGTTTTTTAACCATGTATAGCACTGGTCCAAAGTGAAAATCACAGTCCCTGCCTGTGTAAAGAAATGGGATTTTTCCCTTCATGCCCTCTCTGTTGTGTTGTTTTTCTAGTGGCACTCTTTTAATTACCACTTGTCTCACAATGCACACAGCAACATAGATACACAGGCAAAATCACACAGCCTTTCTTCAGCTGACAGAATATTTTTTCAATACTTTACACAAGAATATTACAGTCCATAACAAAGAATCAATAAAAGGGTGAGATTTTGATCTCAGATTAAATGCAAAGCAAGTTGGAGCATCTAAATAAAATGTGCAAGGGGAGCCATCTAGTGATTTCAGATCTGCAAGACCACCGCGTGTTATCCAGAGGCGCCGTTGCTCTCTCTCTCAGATTCTTTACAGATACAATACATGTGTTTTCAACGCAAATTCAAATAACAACATGGAAGTATATTGTACTGTTCTCCACTGATGTGCTGTCTTATCTGATTTCTTCATAATGCTTTGTTGTCTGAATGTGCTGCATCTACAGAAGTTCAAGTAGGTACAGGAGCTGCGTCAGCATGCGTAGGCTGCAAAGGAACAAGTAAAGATTTATTCCCCGCTGAAAAGAGAAGAAAGGAAACACAACCTTTCGGCTGTGGAGCCTTCTTCGGGTGTCAGTGTTGTGATGCTGTTTCTTTTCTTCTCTTTTCAGCACGGAACAAACCTTTATTTGTTTCTGTATATACAGTATTAATGTATATTGCATGACACTGATCAAACTCAATTTAATTCAAATTAATACTATGGAGAAATCCAACATTTTGTTTCTGTCCTTAGTTTTATAACAAATTACCAATTAGCGAAATCAGCATGTTTTCTTAGCCTAGCAGCCCTGAGTAACAAGACAATTCATTTTCACAAGTTACAATACTGACATTGCAACCAACTGGATAGATATTATGTGACATTTATTTGATTTTAAGTATTAATTCTGGATGATAAAAAAGCATTGGAAAAAAAAAACATATTACCCAAGTGTTTAATTCAACCAGTGTTGTGATTACAGAAAAAACAACCTGGTGTCCTTTAAAGTCTTGTTTCCTAAAGTACGATTTAACAATTTAAGCCGACAATCACAATATTGTATACACTTGGGTTTGGTAAACCTTACTGGATGATAAAGTATGTCTGAAAATATTCTTTTTTCTGGCTGACCCACTGAAGCTCATGAATACACATAAGTGGTGTCTGGGCAAACCGAGGGAAATGATGAATGTCTGCTCCATGCTCCTCTAAACCACACAGAGGCCCGATCTGTGCGCTGAATAGGTATATTGACATTATACAGACTTTGCAACTGGCAGCGCAGTAATGGTGCATGATGGGAATGCCCTGGTCAACTGCTATTTACAGGAAATGTATGGTTTTTACAGACTCAAGTCCATCAAAAATACCACAAAATGAAGATATTTTTTAATTTTCCTGTTTCACTTGTTGCCAAGGAGTGGGAAGCAGATGAACAATTGCCATAAATGAACAAAACTGCTGGACTGGCTAATTTGACCACGAACCAACTGTTAAAGATGAAAACCTTTGATTTCACATGAGAATGAATGCTGGTAACTGATGATGTGGAATACTTGAAGATCCTTTTAATCAAACCTTTACATCAGGCCACATTAAAAAAAACAACAGAATATTCGATCGCTTTGAAAAAGGAATGGCACACTGCGTAAAATGTAAAATTTGTGAAGAAATTTGCACATTCATAAATGATTGAGACAGTTCCTCGGTTGTCAAAAAGGGTCTGATAACCCTCATTTTCTCTATTTTCACTTCCTTAACACTGTAGCCCTCTGCACAGCTCCCTCTTCAGGTACTGTAATCAATACGAAACTTTCTTTCTTTAATAATTGAGCAAATGTTAACTATGAAGAAAGTATTTTTCACAGGCTAATTCAAATCCTCTGCTTGGGTATTATCATGATATCTCATGACTGGCTATACTTCCAATCACATAATACCCAGCTCCAATGGATTACAAATTATAGAACTAAATATAAACCATATAATATATTAACTCATGCCAAAAGCTGATTATTTTACAACGTAAAAAATGCAAGGCTATCTCTGACAGATTTAAAGCAATACAGTATTAAATTCCTTGTTAGTTTCATTTATAAAATGGCGCACACAAAACTTTTTCTGTGAATTTAATGATTTTGTGAAAAGACTAGTTGAGAGCAGATAATGATAGATTCTGTTTTCACTACCTGCACCTTCACTTATCTACATTAAACAACAACATTAAGGTGAATGATAATAATAAATGATATTGAAATGTATCTTTTTTTTATTCCATTTGCTAATCCTCATGTTTCACTATCATCTGTAAACTTGTTAGTTTACTAATTGTACCAGAACCTGGATCGTTGATATAAATGAAGAGCAGAGGTCCTAGGACAAGTCCCTGGTGGTCTCCTCTAATTACATCTCCTCAATTTGAGCATTCACCCCTCGTCTGTACTTTTTTTCTATTTATTAACTAATTTTCAGTCTAAACACACGCCTTTCTCTGAATGCCTACAGCCTGAACATTCCCTTGGATACAACATATTGTATGTTCTGTGCACGTCCATTACCGTTGTTAATTGTTCAAAGAACGTTTAACAAGCTGATTAGGCAAGGTCTATATCCATAATGCTCACCTATATGAAATAAAATCTAGGATCATAGTTTAGTTGTAATAATTGTTTCCATATCCTTATTTGTAATAGAAGTCAGGCTTATTGGTCTACAACTTCTCGCGTCACTCTTGATATTTTTTTTCTTAATCCTTACTGGTTCTTTTGGTGTCGCAGTACTGAAATGACAGTTCTAACCTCTATTGTAATATGTTCTTTAGCACCTGACTAATATCGGATTTTAAACCCCATGTACAACTGTTACTGTTATCCCACTCCTTTCTTGTCGTTGTACGTTTTATGCGCAGTTTATTCGCACGGGCAAAACAAATCAACACAGTGCAGTACTTCCACCTGGTGGATAAACGGCATACGGTACGTGTCACCTAAAAAAAAAAAATGATTTTAAGGCTGTCACCATTTTTTAGATATCACTTTATCAGCCACGATTTCTTGCATTAGGAATCCGTCTTTTCACATACACCAGCTTGCTCTACATGAGACACACCGACACACGGGCAGGCAGAATTAGTCGGCACCAATTATAATGGCAACAGATACTACAATCCTAGCATCTCGCTGAATAAAGGCGACATGACGTGTCAGAAATACTGAGCTGAGTTGGAAGACTCTGGCGCAGCTGGGCAGCTCCGCAGCTGGCGCAGCTGGCGCAGCCGGGCCCGTGAGCAGTACTGTCCCTGTCGGGCACCCGTAGTGACGGGGGCGTCTCTCTCTCCCTGTCTGTGCAGACAGCGCTGTCATATTTCAGCTCTGCAGAGGGGCACTGCTTCCAGGTGCTTGTGCTGGGTCTGTTTTCCCCCTGCCGCGGGACCATGGCCGCTCAGAAGATCAATGAAGCACACGAACACATCGCTAAGGCGGAAAAATAGTAAGGACGATCGTGCTCGGCGATTGCTTTATTTAGGTCGGGAATCTGCAGCCCTTCTTGCGTATGTTTTGTACAATCCGGCTGTGATCACAATTTTTTTTTCAGTGTCAGTTAAATTATATATCAGGGGTACTTTACCGAGCGAGACATTTAAATTATCGTGGGTTAAACTCTCATAATTATGTATTTTCTTATTCTAGTTTCTATCCCACGGGTTATTTTTTTTTTCGCCTTTTTTAAAAGACTGGCTGGATTAGCTTTCGGGAGGCTCCATGCTGATTGGTCAAGAGCTGTGAAACAGATGACGCAACATTTACCAAGGATTGTAGGGATTGTAGTTCTTGTCATTGACTCTGCCCTCTCTTGTTGTGATCACGATATATCTCAAATACTACATCTACCACCATGCCCTATGGTAAATTCAACGGGCGAACGTGGATTTACTTCCTGTGCTGTCATGTCATGTGAATTTTGAGTCTGAAAATTTGTTAGGAAATTGCTGAAAAACCCCAGACAATATGGAAAATTTATCTTGTGCAATCAGTAATACTTCATAAACCTCACATGTTTGTGTTTTTTTTTAATCGCGTCAACAAGCTAGAGGTGCTCTTACCTCTAGCTTGTTGGCTGAAATGATGTTGTTGTTGGTTACTGTGCCTCTGAATTATTGCCCGCTTACTAGAGGTATACTCCTACTGAGACGTCAGCAGAGATTAGAAATTACATAGATCTTGAAAATACTCCCATCTTTCTGAAAGCAGTGTGGACGTTGTATTTTGCTTCTTTCACTTCTGTACTTCTGTACAGGGGATTTTAACAGCATTTCAGATTGTGCGTTGTTACGTATTTATTAGTGGTCTCGCTTACATTACACACGGTTACTCCGATTGTGGACTATCTAATGCTAAAATAGTCTGTGAGCTGGTTTCACAGACCAAGATTAGCTCGCTATACTCATAGAGTTTAATCAAATACTTTTAACACTCTTCTGAGTCTCAATACAGAAGTAAGAACTCATGTACCAATCGTTATTGGAGGAACATGTAAACAATCAAGTTGTTAGATTCTAAATTGATTGTAGGTTTATTGCAGTAACTAATTTCGTGCAATTTGGTTCGGTGAGATCGTACATTAAAGATATGCAACACAAATATACAACATAAAGCTGATTATAGAATGCATCTATGCAACACATTCACAAACCATCCTTGATTCACATGAGTCATAAAGTAAATAGCAATGGAGCCTGATAGAATAACTGTGAAGAACTGGGCCAAAATATCAAAATGAAAGTGCAGAGTTTATGAATCTCCCACAGTCTAGGCAGGTGCTGTTATGAAACCTAGTAAGCCTTCTTATGATGGAGCGAAGCCTAAATTGTTTGGTCCCTTATACATAAAATTATTCTTGTATTTAGCTTGTGATGTCTCCTATAGCAAGCAGAATTAAGTGGCAAATCATCAATTTGACCCCTAAATCAAGGTCTTTTGACTCCATGTCCCAACAATCAAGAAGGAAACATATGGGATACGGTATTTTCAAAATATGAAAACAATAGCAGTAACATCCTCACAGGAGTAATACTAATAATACTTCGGTCCTGGGACAGCTGTCTTTTACCTCCCCAAGCACACACTGGTGCATCTGTCTTCCAGGATCTGATATTTGATGAGAAAAAGTTACTCAGACTAAAAGAAGAGAATTTCTTTCCAGTGGGAATGAAAAAATTGTTGGGGTGGTAGGACCCCAGAATACGAAGATGTGATTCTTACAGGCACCTTAAATTATACTACCTTTGCTGTTTAATAGTGTACTGCAGGTATAATGCTCTATGGGTTGGGTACAGAACAATTGGAAAGGATATTGCTTCAAAGATAGCTTTCCTGAGCCATCTACTGTATTTAGCACTTGGTTTGGTCTTCCTCTGTGAGACGTACAGTATTCAGTAAATAATTGCTTGATTCTTTTTTCGTCTTAGTTTAAAAACGAGCTTCATGAAGTGGAAGCCTGATTATGACAGTGCCGCAGCAGAGTTTGCAAAGGCAGGTAAGAAACAATGTGTTTGACTAAGATATCAAACATGTCTTTCTGCTGTTATCATCCATACCAGTAGAATTTGTGAAGTCACGCTTCATTGCAACTAAGTGTTATAAGACGAGCTGCAAGGGTATTTGCTCCTCTTAGGATTTTCCGCTCTGTGATCTGTAAATAAACTGTTACAATGTGTAACGCGACAGAAATCAATATTTGGAAGGGGGCTGTATTTTTTGCAGTTAAGTATTTTCCCAGTTTTCCCAAGAAGTGATCTGATGGAAAACTGAAGATGGTTCCAGGAAAAAAAAGCACTTCCCTATATTTTGAAGTGAAATGGCTGCTGTGTAATCAGCATGTACTTTGTGTTATGCCACGGAGTCTTTTGGTAATTTGATGACTGGGAGAAAAATATTGGAATTTACATTTCGATAAAAAATGGGGTGGAGTGGTGGCTCTGTGGCTCAGGATCTGCGCCTGTGGCTGGAAGGTTGCTGGTTCAAATCCCACAGCCGGCAGAGGAATCCTACTCCGTTGGGCCCCTGAGCAAGGCCCTTAGCCCCAACTGCTCCAGGGGCCCTGTACAATGGCTGACCCTGCGCTCTGACCCCCAGCTTCTCTCCCTGTCTGTGTGTCTCATGGAGAGCAAGCTGGGGTATGCGAAAAGACAATTTCATAATACAAGAAATTGTATATGGCCAATAAAGTGATCTTATCTTGTTTCAACCCACATATCCCCCTCGACTGCCTGTGTCAGGTATTATGAATGAAGGCACAGTACATGTAAGACCATGTCACTCAAGACAGTTGAGTCCTTTTTTTACTGTGGGTTGGCAACTGAACATTTCTTTTGTGTGTGCTATAAACGAAGGTTGTAGCACACATACGATATAACCTTTTCAAAAGGTTTTAGTCTTGTGTTTCTATAGCAGAAGTAGTAACTCCTAAAACTGATCCTTTACATGATCGTCTGTGAAAGGTTATAAACGAGAGGAAGTTCTTTGGCCCATCAAGCCCGCTTGTGTTTTCTGGTTTGTGTTTTACTGTTGATTTTTAAGAAGTCCCCTGGCTTTAAAGATCTCAAGAAGACAAAAGACTTTTCAAAAAACACTATAAAAAGCTCCATTAGATAGGGATGCCTCCACTAACCCTTAAGTAAACTGGTTCTACTGCTTCCCCCCAAATTACAACCCCCCTCCCCCCATTGTCACAGTGTTATAGGAAAGATACAGCTGCTCTGGAATCAGTCCAGAGAAGAGCAGCCAGATACAGCCCAGGACTTAAAGGAGTGTCCTACACCGCCGGGCTGAAGGAACTGGACCTTGTTAGTCTTGAGAGAAGACTGAGGAGACCGGATCCAGGTATTCAAGATCCTCAAAGGCTTTGACATAGTCACCCCATGAAGCCTTGTTTTGTTTACGTGTTTCGATGTTTGAAGTGCAGTGACCTCCTGAGTCATGCTAGCAAACCCGGGGGGGATCTTTCTCTTGTGGAAGATGACCCATTTCTTTCAGCCTACATTAAGGCTTCTTTCAACCTACATTAAGTCAGGCAGGCCCCTGGAGTCAGAAAGGTAACAGAATGTGTGAGACTGCGTAGGCAGTCACTTAAAAAAAAATGCAATGTCATTAGAACCAGTTTGAGCTCTGTGATTCATAGCCATGCAAACGTCTGTGTCCGGAATAACTTGAACTCGAGGAAGCATTTGGTCAGGGTCGTTCCGATAAAATGTGTGATGTTTCTGCATCTTCTGTCGTCCACAGCTGTTGCCTTTAAAAATGCCAAACAGTTTGAACAGGCAAAAGAAGCTTACTTCAAGGAAGCAGAGGCACACACTAATAACAGAGCGTATCCTTAAAGGAAGAAACTGCAGCATGCAGCAAGCAGCATTGTCTACAATGAGTTATATATGTATCATCTACTGTATATTTGTAGCCTTTATACAGTTGGGCATTTTTTAAAGAAGGAGTCTGAGTGCAGTAGCTTACTCAAGGATACCCAGCAGTGCTAGCTTGAATTTGAACCCAGAGCGCTAACCACTAATCTGTAAAGCAGTATCTCCAAAAAATGCTGCTTGTTGTTTAAGCCATCCTTTTTGCATTTCAAAGGGTTAAATACATTTAGTTTCAGGGTAAATTGCAATATATACTAGAAACTACATATGTTATGAATTGCTCTCTTATGGCTATTTTAGATTGTAGTTTTAATTTTTGATTGTAGTAATTCCTATATGCGACATTCTGGTCTGTTGCTACCTTTTGAATTTTTTTTCCTGAATTTTTCTTAACAATATTTACAGTCTTTTCCACGCTGCCAAGTAAGTAAATCTCAAAATATCAGTATAACTAGTAAATAAATACCATGTCAGTTCTTTGCTGACTGCTGTTTTAAAGTGTATTTTCTTTATTTTTTAGAAAATAGAAAAGTAAATTGTGTTACATTGCAACTGATGTTTTTCATTGCTTGAAAAATTAAGTTTTGTCTTCAAGTTTCTATTATGTTGTCTGTGATTTGTGCTTTTAAACCCAATTTTTTCCTTCTTCAGAGCACTTGAGCAAGCTGGCATGATGCTCAAGGTCAGTGCAGTGCAATGGATTTCCACTTCAAGTATTTTTATTGTTTTCAAAACTATAATTACAGTGTTTTTAAAAAAATGTATTCTTATCATCTGTTTCTTTGTTTAATGTCAGTGCTGTTGCTTTAATAGTCGTACGTATGTTGTTTGACTTTCCGAGAAGACTGTGTTTTAAGACGGTAATTTTAATTTTTCATTTTGCTCTTTCTGTAAAGGAAGAAGTGCTTATATGTTGTTGGAATGCTTCCGTTAATGAAAAAATAACTCAAAAAAGTTTTAATTTCTGTACAACGATATATACAGGCAGACAGTGGATGGTTGAGTAAGATGCATCCGCTCATAGCATAATGTTTCAGCTACAATCAGGGAAAAAATACTTGGCTGATGAAACTCAAAAGAGCAGTCCTTTTCTTAATTCGCGCAAAGGAAAACCTTTCATGGTGTGCACCGTGAATTCATTTTTTTTCACTGCCCCACAATCCACACCATCTTGCACTTTGGGGACGGACTCTAGGCAGGGTCCTCTTTGATTCTGCAGTCTAATGTCCCTTGGCGTGACTTTGCTGTCCCACCAGTGCAGAAAGCCTGATTCAGAGTTCACACAGACGTTTCCTACTGGGGGGAATTCAAAGTCCTTGCAGGCCGCAAAGGGTCAACCTTTAGGGCTACCAAGTGACTGAGCAGTCGGGGGCTGTATTGGGGCAGAGCGTGCCCCAGAGCGTGGTAACGCTGTGCCGTCTGCTCTGTCCAGGACATGCAGCGGATGACCGAAGCGGTGGAGTTAATCGAGAAGGCCAGCATGATGTATGTGGAGAATGGCACGCCCGATACAGCGGCGATGTCCCTGGACCGGGCTGGAAAGTGAGTTGGGTTAGAACTAGAAATAATGACGTAGGTTTGCCGCCATATGATACGGATTTGTGCAGCTCTGGTGAGGCCGTATCTACAGTCTCTAGCCCTTTCCCAGGGACTGCACACTTCAGGACCAGGTACCTGGCTTCACCCTGACCTTTGGGTGTGTATATATATATTTGGGAGGCGAGGACCTTTGTGTTGGATTTGCATACTTCCCTGCAGTATTACTGCAGTGTTCACTTTTCACCTGATCTTCCCTCACACACCAGCTTCACATATTCTAAGCATTCTATTCTCTTGCTACTCCAATTACCCAGCTGCAGTGGATACCTGCACATGTCATTGCAGTTTACTGTGGTACCTATTGGAAGTGGGCTCCAGTAACCCAGCGACAGGGTAAAACAAATGCTGAAACCACAACTAAACCCATCATGACGCAGAAATCTGGCTTTCAGGTTGAGTTCATAATGTCAAATTAAATACTGTACATTTTGGTGTTAATGACTTTTATTTCCGTTATACCAGGGAGGGCGATGATAAAATTTAGCTGTTTTGCATTCTTTCAGGCTCATCGAACCGATCAACCTGGAAAAGGCAGTGAAACTTTACCAGCAAGCAGCCTCTGTGTTCGAAGTAAGTTACACAATGCATCATCGTGGGCTCTGTCACTGAATTCGTGGCTATACTCTAGCTCCTCTGCAGCTGGAGTGAGCTTTCATGTTCATTGAGTTCCATGATAGTGGGGCCTAACTGTGAGGTATGCCTTATGCAACACGTCACACAGGACAGAAGAATTGTAGCACAAGATGCAATCCCACTGACCAGAATAAATACGGCACAAGGCTACATCATAACAACGAATCCGACAGAAGTGCCCGATGTGTCCTCTTCCTCTCTCATGTTGGCCACTGTAGGAGTGCAGTGATGCTTACACTAGTAATTTGTTTGCGAGGCCTGGCAATGAAGAGATGCCTAGCAGGGTGTGGCAGCAGTGGGTTTCGGCTCAGGACTCCTAGCTGCAGGGCTGTGGATTCGCAGCCCGAGTGGGTTGTGGGCTTACACCCTTTCGCAAGACGGCTTCCTGTCGGAACCGTCGAGCACAATACAGTAAATGGATGCCCGTAACAGCAGGTGCATATGTTGCAAATATTAGCGTCCAGATCCGTGTCTGCGGATAGTGACCAGGTCTCTGGAGCTGAAGCCCGTATTTCGTGAGCGAACCCCCAGCGAGCGTCTGCTTTGTGTCTGTGCAGAACGAAGAGCGCCTGAGACAGGCTGTGGAGCTTCTGGGCAAAGCCTCTCGGCTGCTGGTCAGGGCTCGCAGGTAGGGCCTCGCTGCATGCGTTTGCTCGGTGGTCGAAGTCTCTTCTTTCACCTGTACTGTCCATGAGTAAATGCCTGTCTTTGACACTGACACTGTTTTCACACTCTCAGACTTGATGAAGCTGCGGTGTCAATACAGAAGGAAAAGAACATGTATAAAGAAATAGAAAATTACCCCACCTGCTTTAAGGTAAATTGTTACAATCTCAAACTGCTTTGCCTTCCTAAACCTGGATTTTGTTTTGTACAATCAAGTGTGTTTGATTGTAGGACAGATAAAACCAGGACCTTTATTTCTTTTGCAGATAAAAAAATAGATTTAATTAAAACAGGATTTGGCTTACCTAAAACACACTTCATCAAAGATTTATTTTTAAAACTAATTTTGTCTGGACTGATTTCTGAATGTCTAATTAATAAATCGTTGTGATGCTTATGACACCTTTTAGACTGCTGGCTGCCTCAGCTGGTCTCTGTTCATCTGGGGGTTAACTTAGTGTTGTCATTCTTCTTAGCAGAGTTTTCATGGGTCAATAATAACCCACAGACTAACCCACAGCACTGGAAAAACAAAATAAAGAATAAACATACCTGGTGTGTGCAAATCTGCTTTCTGAATTCTGAAACTGCAGGATTTCAAGGGGGAAAGTTACATAGGACAGAGCCTGTACCTTATCCAGGGCCTATAATAGGCACCTTCAGTGATCTTTTTCAGTATTTTGTCACACATGTTATTAACATTCATTTTTACTTTTGTAGAAAACAATCGCCCAGGTACTTGTTCACCTTCACCGGAACGACTTTGTTGCAGCAGATAAATGTGTCAGAGAAAGTTACAGGTACAGTAGTAATACTGCCCCTTGCACATTTTATGTACATAATCCTAACAAAAAAAAACAGTGTTAAGTGTTTTATAATAGAAGGCGTATTCAATGAATGTTTTTTTTACTTGACAGCTTCTCAGTGCTATTCATGAAATGTCTACTTAAATGTGTTCCAGGGGCTTTCTTAAGTGAATTTCTTCGTTTCTCCCTGTGGTTTAGCGATGTGGCACAAAAGCATTGAAACCCTGTTTCTGGTATAAAGAACATATGCTAAAGTATTGAATCCTCATTGTGGTTTTGTCTAAAAAAGCATAGCTTTGAAGAGTGTTTTGCTGTAAATGTTTCCATACCATTGAGAGAATTTTATTTCTGCCTTAAGCTGGCAATTTAGTTTCAGATATATTAAAAAAATACTTTGGGGAATGTACGCTTTGTGCACCGTATTGTTCTTTTTAACATTTTTTCAAGAAACAGCAGTCAAAAAAGAGAGCGCAACAAAACATCCAGTCCTGCGACCCACTCTAAAAAGAAGGAGAAAAAAATTCATCAAAACCCTTGCGGTTACAGTAATGGTAAGAATATTAAAAAGTGTTGTTCTTTCTTCAGTATCCCAGGGTTCAGTGGCAGTGAAGATTGCATTGCCCTGGAACAGCTTCTGCAAGGCTATGACCAGCAGGATGAGGACCAAGTGTTTTCTGTGTGCAACTCGCCTTTATTCAAATACATGGACAATGATGTGAGTGCATTTAAAACATTTTATTTAAAAAAAAATACCATTGATAGCTAAAGAATGCAGGCATGTATGCGTAACCATTAACTGTATCGCAGTGAAACCTTTTTCTGTGATGGGCAAAAAGCAATTTTAAAACTGTATTTTCTTATTGTCATTTGTGCACGCTTTTTATGCAGGGTTGCATGCCGGTTACACCTCGTTGAATTCATCGTTGCCTGAGAAGCAGAATTGCTATAAATGTTATGAAACTGCATTTCGGGGCCAACCCTCTAACTGTGTATCATCACATTCTTCTCTTGTAAACCTGGAATCGGTAGTTACTGTTCCTAGTCTCGCTCCATCTGGAAACACCCATCACAGATTTTCTCTTATCACCTTGCAGCTACACAAACACCATGCGTCACCATTGGGGTAATCCCACTCATAGCCCCCAAATGGCATGCCCTGGGCTCGAGACTGCCATGCCCGGGTCACAGAGCTCTGCCTGGGCCTGTACCTGCTGAGCCACCTGGGCGGCCATCTTGAGATTTTACAGTGGTGAAAGTTTTAAGAAGTGAAAGCAGAAGCGAACACTACATAAAGCAGTGGTCTGCACATGAGCGAGGCGTCAAGCCTTGTTTTGTTGGCATGTTTAGCCTTATGTGAAAAGTTAATATTTCGCTGCAGAGAATCAATGATGGCTTTGCTGTGACACTTTTTTCAGTCCGTTCCTACTTTGCTGTATTAAGTATTGAAATACATTTAATTATTTTTCAGTAATGACCCAAAGATATACTGATGTGCTTTTTAGTTTTGAAATGTCTTGAAATGTACGCAGTTTGGAAACATGTCTTGTGTTTCCAAAAGCTGTAAAAGATGAGCTTCTAAGTAAACAAGATCGCTCTGTATAATACTGATACTTACTGTAACACTGAGTTATTTTCAGACATTTTCAGTGAAACTGGATAATGATAACTGCAGTTAAATTACTACAGTGACTGAGTCATCATTTCCTCTGAGTATAATGGTACTCTTTCAGATTCATTTAGTGAGGGCTGGAGTGGTTAGTCTCATTATAGTTGTAGCCATTACCACAGCTCTTGTGTTAGGTTAGATTACGCTGTGGCTTCATTTATATATATACACACATGGGTCTTACGAGAAACAAATATCAGGGTTATGGCGTCTTTAAGACGACACAGTCATTGCAAACTTTGTCAGAACAAATTACATGGCTGTTGTCTTTTCTTCCACAGTGCTGAAAGGCAAAGCCATCTAAATTTCTAACCTTCTGAATTCTGCCTCTTGTGTGTATGAGGTCTTTGTTTAGGACAGACTTTGTTTAGGACGTCTGTGGCATCCGTACTTGTTCTCACTAGCTTTGGCAGATAACTTTGGCCTCAGTATTTGGGAGGGTCCTGTATGTGTGTCTCTGTGTGTATAATTGCACTGTGACAAAGCCTTTTTCCAGGGATCTTTAGGAATTCTTTGCCAGCACCTCCAAGTGTTTGGCACAGATTAAGATTAATTTTAAAGGACTGGTTGATGGAGCTCAGGAAGTTCCGGTGTAGTGCAGGCATGCCCTGCCTGGTATGATAAGACACCTCTGCAGTGCAGAACACTGAGGTTAATCCATGTGTCTGAGAGGTGGAAAGAAACAGTTTTTTCCGCCATTCCTTATTCCTACAGTATGCCAAGCTGGCTCTCAGTCTGAGGGTTCCGGGAGGCGGATCCAAGAAGAAATCTCCTGTCACGCCCCAGGCCGGGGCTGGGGGCTCCCGGGTCGAGGAGGAGGAGGATGAGTACTCTGGGGGACTGTGCTAGCTCTGGACACTTCTCTACCGCTGCGCTGTTCAGCAGCTCATGCAGATCTGCGTCAGGTACAGGCTGTCCCGAGAGCTCCTTGAGGGGGACTTCTGCACATTGAAACAGCTTCTCAGCATCAATTACTTTGCATCGCCAATGTTACTAATTAATTATGACTACAAAATGATACTGATGCCCGCCTGCTCTCCGAAGACAAAAAACGAATCCCCGGCGTTATTTCATGACTTCCAAGTTTTGTTTTCACCTTGTTGTGTTTAAATTAAAGGTTAGCCAAGGGAAAGATCTTGAAAATCATGTTTCAAAAGTGAACATACAAATTCATTAACATTCATTACCACCATGTTGCTGGGTAACTTGCTCAATGTTTATACTTTAACTTTTGCTCTCCTTTGGTCCATAAAGCCCACAAGAAAATCCAAACAAGTGATCGTTGAAAAAGCAGAACACATACCATTTCCTGTTTTCAGATATTGTTGCCTTTGTATACAGGTTTAAAAAGTTATTTCAAATTTGAAGCATATAAATCAAATTATAAATAATTATAAAGCCTAGTTCCTGAAGGTATTAGATGTGTATTTCCTTTGTAAGTGGTATTGGAAAATGATCTTGTGTTATTTATTTTGTTTCGATTCATATATAAAATGTCCGTATAATTGCCTATTTTGCATGAAGGTTAATATCAATTATTACAAGTCTCAGTCAGAATAAAAAAGACTATATAATCAAACTCCTGGTAATATCACTGTGGTTATTGTCATGAGCCTGTTGGTATGTGTCCTACTGTAGCAAAACAGTTTAATTCCATCCCGCGTAACTTCATTCTGTATATTTGATAAAAAATGAGTGTACAGCTAATTTTGTGCCTTTATGGCAGCTCTAAATTATAAGTAAATCTTGGAAACAGTTATATCCCATTCCAAGGCTTAAACAGACTCTTTTGGATTAAACATGTTTTTGCAGCTGTCAAAGTCTCAAGCCAGGAGTGAAATTTTCAGTTTTCACTCCTGTGAAACCATATTGTAAAATGTGATGCATAAAGTCTTGTTAAAGATACTCAGACTGTAATATGGCAGAAATCATACATAGTCTAGGCATTTCCACTGATAAATGTATTATGCATGTTTAGCACAGTCGGGTTGTATATCTGCGATATGGACAGCAGTGACTCATCATCGGTATTTTGCTGAGTTGTTGGTGAGCTCCAGTTGATCAGGTCTTAATGAAACCTATTTTGTTCAATCCCTTTGAAGGGGTATTGAGAGTTTCACTGCACTTGTGGCTGGAATACAAAACTCTCTGCATTACAAAATGCGATCAAATGATCACTCTAAACAGTAATGAAAGGCACAGACATAACACATCTTAAATTTACAATCAGGAACAGTATACATGCATGTGTAATCAGGTAGAGGCAGGGTTTATTTCTTTACATGATGTGCTTGATCAGCCGTCTTGAGTTCAGCGCATGTTGGCAGCAGTGACAAGATTGAGAGAAACACTATTGGTCGCAGCACTTAGAGGAGATACACGTTCAGCGTGTCATGTTCACCCTAACATAATTCATTTTTGTTCTTTGTGGATAGTACGTTTTTCAGTATCGATATCCTAAGCTTTTGTGTCAACTGCTTGTAGTTTGTACACGTACATGGTGTTTGTGGAGCAACTTACAGCAAAACATCACCCTTCATCTTCTTATAGACTTGGAATTTGTTTAATTCGTTTGTTTTGTTAATAATTTGTTTTCAATTTATGTGATTAATTTTCAAAAAGATCTGTACAGTTCGTGAAGGTATTTCTGGCAGTTAGATTATGGAGGTGTAGGTAAGAGACATGAAAACTGAAACAATACAAATCACCCCCTTTTAAAGTGGTAATTAGTATTTTACCCCTGTGTGGTATTTCATAGGTTAGTAAAAAAAAAGTTAACATAAGCACAGCAATAAATCTATCTGTGGCTGTTCTGTGATACTGTACTGAGTGTTTTACATTCATTTATGTTGGTGGTATGTTAAAATGGAGTTATTTGTTGTATGCTTTTCCTTAGTTTCAAATTCGTGATTTATTTTGGTTTGTTCTGATATTCAGAAGGCATTGAAAATTGTTCTTACTGTGTATGCATATATTAATCAGTAAAATCTATATGTGGCCTGTTTCTGCTTTAGTCCGGTTTTAAATACTGTGCAAACCAAATGCAATCTGCTCTGTGTAAATGTTGTATTGTATGAAATTGTTGCTTTGACTTTTTTTCAATTGTGGTGTAACAAAAGTGCATTTTTTAAAAATAAACTATACAAGTTGTTAGCAAATATAGCATTATTTCAAAAATGGCTGTTTTCCTATGTTAAAATAAACTATTTAAAAATAAACTGTACAGTTTAATGTAAAATATAAGTTGTTTTCATTGAGTGAAAAAAAAAAGATTTATGCTCCAATAACATACAACATCCATAAGAAAAGGCCAGTAAATACACTCTACCCGAAAATAAAAAATCATCATAGGTAAGATACGCCATATAATTGAAAATACTGGCCACATTTTTTAAATTATTTTTTTAAAGTGCAGATAATTTCTCAACCGCATTTCAGCGTACACTATCCCTTGTAGCGAGTGCTAATTAATGGGCTTCCCTAGGGATGCAACTAATTTTGTCCACATGCGGACAAATTTGTTAGGATTTTCTGCCTTTGTGCAGCTACACAGGTGTCTTGCCGTTTTGTTAAAAAAAATCTGCGTACGAGGCATTCCGGAAACTGCCGAAGCGAAGAAGCCATGTTGATAGCTCAATGAGATTGGGTCACCTACTCCAAAAACGCTGTGGCCAGCCCTTGAGGTTGGTGTTGACGAGCAGCGTTTGGGAAGATGGCTGCTGCAGAACTTGTGTTCTGCCGGGGACCTGGAGAAAAAAGCCAACAAGGGAGACCTGTGCTGATTGTGGGGCAGCTCGCACATCTGCACAGACTGACGTGGGACAAAGTCAAGGACAAGTTACCGCCCCCAGTACACGAGCAGGTAGGACGAAGTCGCTGCAGTGGGTTTCGGTTTGATATGATAACGCAGTTCGTGGACAGAAGTCGTCTGCGACTCCGGCGAACCTGAAATGTCCTGCCCGCTGTGGCGGCGTTGTCGGTTTCAGTGCCTTTTTCCACGAATCTGTCGCGGCGTGGCGTGCTCAAGATTTCACAACCCCAGCGCCACACCAATTGTAACTTTAGGAAGTGCCGTCATGAAATGGAAACAGTGTAAATAATATTAAATAATAAGTTACAAATAATGTAGGACTGAGTGCCCACTATAGTCGCCTGGCTTGGTGATTTTATCTTTTTACCTCAAGCTTACCGTGTACGTATATATTTATAATAGTATTTGCATAATTCAGTTCCGTTTGTTTTTGACACTTTCGTCGTCAGAAGGAACGGAAGGACATTTTGGGGGGTCATTGCAAGGTCCTAGGATTCAAGTTCTTCAGTTATTTTTTTTTACCAAGAGCTTAAAACCGATCACATCTGGTGTTAAAACTGCGCCAATCGGGGCGCTTCAGATTACGCAGTACCGATATCTACCAGTCTAAGCAGAATTGCACAGCAGCTCTGCCGGTCACACGGCACTGGTTCATGAGCGTTTTTGTTGTTGGCTACTGAGGCGACGAGCGCCCACGGATGCCGGGGGGCAGCTCTGCCCTGCGAGGGTCCTGTCGCGGTCGCCCGTGGGCTCCCAGCCTGCGCCCACCCCGGGCGGGGGCGAGCGTCTGCCTCACCCTCAGGCCCCGCTGCGTCTTGTCGTCTCCGCAGGCATGGAGGACGGCGCTGGGGTCCCTGAGGCCAAACCCGACCGACGTGTGTCCGCTGTGGCTGAACTCGGCTGCCGTGGCGGCTCTCCCCGGTAGAGTCAGCCGACATAACACCCCCTCCTCGGCGCATTTCCTCCTGCGGCTGGTGCGCTCTTGCCTCCCCGAGGAAACCAGCCAGCACATCGTGGTGCGTGAGAAACCCTGTTCCTGCGTTTGCCGAACCAGACGGGCGTCTAACTACTCCTCCTCATTGTGCTCATCAGCGTTACTCTGTGGTCAGAACCCACACAGCAACATAAGAGGCAGGGCTATCTAACTTCTTAAAAATGGACTTTCATGGCTTATTTTGTTTTGAGACATTGAGAGCTTCCTTAATTTCTTCCCGTTTTCTGGCTGTCATACTGTACTGTAGGCCGATGGGTTTGTCTGCGTCAGCCCACGTTCGTGGGGTTTGAGTGGGCAGTGTGGAGCAGTGGCTAGGACTCCTGACTCTGAAGTGAGGGGCCGTGTGTGACCCCCGGAAAGGACGCTCTTGCTTCGTCCTTGAACGTCACCCCCTTATAAACCCAGCTGTGACGGACTCATGTCCAATATTATCAGTTATATTATCAACACTGTGGAAGCTGAGCTCAAGTCTAGCCCAGTGACTCTGTAGGCTGGAACACAGGTCCTCCTTATCTAATTTTTCCATTTTTATTCTTATCAATTTTTCTGCTGTCCCCCACGTGTAGTACTATTGTCAATGGAAGTTTCACTTCAGCTCTTAATAATAATATTAATAATAATAATTCCTTACACTTATATAGCACTTTTCCGGACACTCCCCTCCACCACCACCAGTGTGCAGCCCCACCTGGATGATGCGCCAGTACGCTCCCCACACACCAGCTCTCAGTGGGAAGGAGAGCAGAGTGATGGAGCCAGTCTTTTTCAGAGATGGGGATTATTAGGAGGCCATGATTGGTAAAGGCCTGGGGGAAATTTTGCCAGGACACTGGGGTAACACCCCTGCTCTTTATGAGAAACACCCTGGAATTGTTAATGACCACAGAGAGTCAGGACCTCGGTTTTACATCTCATCCGAAGGATGGTGCCTTTTTTACAGTACAGTGTCCCCATCGCTATACTGGGGCATTAGGACCCACACAGACCGCAGGGTGAGTGCCCCCTGCTGGCCGCACTAACACCTCTTCCAGCAGCAGCCTCAGCTTTCCCAGGAGTCTCCCCTCCAGGTACTGGCCAGGCTCACACCTGCTGAGTTTCAGTGGGCTGCCAGCTGTGAGCTGCAGGGTGACATGGCTGCCAGTTGTAGCATGTTGACCGTGTTAAACGTGTTGTTATTTTTCTGTACACAGTTACATTAGCGAGGCCTTGAAGATGGGCGTGCACGATTCCCTCTCTTCGAAAGGTGTCTCTTCCCGCGGCGGGGGCGCTGACTCGTGTTGGTGTGTGCTCTGACAGGTGGTGTGCGAGAGGCCCGCAGTCTTCGCCTCGGCGTGCGCCCTCGCCCGGGCCTCTCCCCTCTTCTCCCGGAGGTCGGGGCGGGGAAGGCCCGGCGAGCCGCGCCGCGTCACGGCGGAGTTCCTGTGCGCGAAACCCGGCGACCAGCCCCTGGCCCTAGAGACGCTGACGGCAAGTGCTTCCGGTCACTGCCTGCCCCTGCAAGCTCTGATGTGTGTTTTTCGCACACTGCTTGGGCTGAGTTTTATTGAAAGTTGAGTGCTGTGTAACAACTGTGCTGTCGATGTGTGTTGATGTGTGATGTTGTCTTTGTACTGGAGCATGCGTGCAAATGAGCATTTCATTGCCCCTGTGCATAAGGTAGATAAACAGAACTCTGAACTCTGAAGTTTGCTGCGAAACGAGAACCTCCCCTTCATTCATTTCCACATCTTAGCAGTTATTTATCCAGTTTACTATGCTTTTCAGACACCACTTCAAAATGGGAGTTTTTTTAATCGCACCAACACTGGTGCTTTCCAACATCTGTGCTTGCTGAAGCCATCGTTTTCCGTTTGTGTGTTGAAAACGTGGTAAAATTGTTAAATGCTTTGTTTCAAAATAAAAACGATGCAGTACACGAATTGGTGCAGGAGCTCGTTGCATTCACTGACCCTTGGTTATTCTCTTTGCAGTGCTTATCGAATGTGGCAGAGAGCATCCGACTGGCAGCCCGTATCGTGGACACACCCTGCAGCGAGATGAGCACAGACGACTTCCTTCAGGCAGGTGCCGTGCTGTCGGACGAAACCGGCTGGCACTTCTGTTCCTTCTCTTTAGCGTGTGATGCAGAAGACTGCCACAGATCTTTCTGTGATACGCGTTTAAGGCCACGCAGAGCTAAAAAAACTGTGCAGTCCCGGTTCTTTGATGAGTGTACGGTAAAAGATAATTAGATTCACATTTTGAGCACCCAACATCCAAATCACGTTGAACATTTAAAGGGCTCCTTGGGATACAGTATTTCCGAATATCCCAGGAAGCCTTGCCTTGTCCTGGGAAAGAATCTGATTTCCATTAGCTTAGACACCGAAGGGTGAAAGGGACTGTAATTTAACACTGGGCTTGTGGCTTAGGCTGTGCGAGTGAATTGTCTTTTAAAGCATTGATAATATCTGTGCAGTACATTTTTTTACTGTAGTTAATTATCAGAATTGCATCCCCATCCCCCTGTGCTGACTGCTCTTGAAAGCGACAGTAATGCCTTTACAGGAGATCAGGGAAGTCGGTTCGGAGCTGGGAATTGTTCCGTCTGTCGTTCGTGGGGAGGAGCTTCATAAGAAAGGGTTTGGAGGTAATTCTAACGCACCTGCTTGCAGAGCTCTGAACGTTTTGATTTTCAGAGGCGAGGTTGCAGTTTGTGAAGTTCCATGTTGGAAAAGAGACTTTCAGATGTTCACGTGGGGAGCTGCATCAGCATGTGTTGGCTGGTGTGGAGGAAACCAGTACAGGTTTGTCCCACGCTGAGAAATAGAAAGGTGGCACACGCGACGCGCACAGCCCCTCACTTCAGGAGTCAGGAGTCCGAGCCGCCACTCCGCGCTGCCCTCTCGGGCTCCATGAACGTGGGCTGACTCAGAAAACCCACTTCAAGAGGCGGAGTCGAGCTTGGCCACCGCGTCGGAGGGCGGTTCCTCCGTGGTGTCGACCTGCTCCCTGTGTGTGTCAGGGAAGTGCTCAAACGTGAGGCTCTGTGTTTGGGGAAGAGGCCCGGCTTCCTACTGACTGCCTTGTGGTGGTCCTGTCTCAGGTATATACGGCGTTGGGAAGGCTGCAAGGAGCCCCCCTGCCCTGGCTGTGCTCAGCCACGCTCCGGAGGGCGCCACCCAGACCATCGCCTGGATCGGAAGTGGGATAGTGTACAACACAGGAGGGTTAACCCTTAAAGCAAAGGTAATGGTCAACTGAAGTGAAGGGTAAAGTATTGCAGCAGAGCATGATGTGCTTGAAACTGAAAGCCAGTCTTTGTTCAGGGACTGCAGCACACGGGGGGGGCTGAGGACGTTGAACCGCTAGCTTTGGTATGTGCTGCTGTGGATGTCAGTGTGAACATGGTTTCCTGCTCATCGGCATCTTCCCCAATTCTGTAATCTACAGAGGCTGTAGTTTACATGAAATGTAACGGATTCTTGATCAAACTCGATTGCTGTCATTCTCTTCCACGAAGGTTTGAATCGAGTGGATTTCTTGCTCAGAGTCAGCCATCACTTTTTTTATTGGTTAATATTCCGCGCAGGTGTGTGAATGTCTGTGCTCAATCTACATTCTCTTCCACCCCTTTCTTTCGTGACTAATGTGGTATGTATGACAGCACTGTGCATTGTCCGTGTCAGTATGGTGTTCTTTTCTGTTGCAGACTCTAATGCCTGGGGCGAAGAGGGATTGTGCTGGAGCAGCTGCTGTACTTGGGGCTTTCAGAGCAGCTGTTAAGCAGGTTAGCACTTCTCTATTGAGCTAGATTACATTGTGTATTGCAGGTTGGTGTGGTACATATTGCACAATGGCTAAAACAGAGATATAGCCCTTGTAGAATATTAACCACCTCCGAACTGTGTGAAACTGTAAAACACTTCATTAATCCAGTTGTACTGACAGCATTTATTGCAAGGAATTGGCAATAGACATTATTGTTGACCAGTAAATCAAAAATATTACCCCACGATCAGTTTTGACTGTACCTGTTATTGGAGTAGTACTGTATATGCTCTAATAGATTATGTTATGGTATGATTTTGTGTTATCTCATGCAAACAGCTTTAACTAGCATTTTAAAATACAGCAAATAAGATTGCTTTTTGCCAAAAGCCTGTGAAAATTACAGGTGAATTAAAACAATAATTACAAAATTTCAATTTAAATCTTCAAAAAAATTAATTGAATTGCATTCACATTTTTCATAGGTAATGGGAAATGCTGAGTAACTCGACCTTAACTTTCAGAGATACATTTAAAGAGTGAAGAGACATAGCTACTACAGTGTCAAATTTAATATGGACATAGATTTGAGTATCATCTGAATACAAATGGTCATTCAGACCATGTGATTTTAATCTAAATTCCTAAGTGGTAACATGTAACTGCTGAATAGCAGGGGGGCCAGTATTGAGCTTTGGGGAACACCTGACTTGACAAACACAACTTCTGAACTAAAACCCCCAAGAGAACGAGGTGTCAGCGATCAGTTATTAAGAGTTAAACCATTTAAGAGAGATGTCAGAAACTCCAAATGCAGTCTCAAGACAGGAGAGAAAATGATCATGATTAACAGCATCAAAAGCAGCAGTTAGGTCTGGTAGAATTAGTGCCATAAGAAGATTGCTAGTAACTTTAAGAAAGGCAGTTTTTCAGCTGTGGAAGTGTCTGAAACCGGATTGGAAGTGTACGGAGAGGTTATTTGCAATTAGGTGATTGTTAAATTGTTTTGCAACAGCACGTTCTAAAATGTTTGTCAGATTAGATCTAGGTCAGAAATTGAAAATTGTTTAGGTTAGTCCAGAACCATGTTTATTTTTTTAGGACTGGAATCAAAGGGAAGGAATGGGATGTAGTAGAAAGGTATCGGTTTCCTAAGGCATGCAGTGTCAAGCTGAGAAAAACTAGAAACAGGAGGACCAGCAAAAAGTGTCTGGAGGTGTAGTACTGGCAAGCGTGGTGGAAATGCCATCAGCTTTGATTTACTGTTCATCAAGGCCTAAAATAATTCTAGAGGCTATTGCTTGTATTGTTTGTAATCTGAAGTATTGGAACTACTCAGGATCATAAATGGACCCCTGATTGAGGGCAGCTTCATTAGACCAGCTGACAGTAATTGTTTCTGCAAGGTTCTTGGGTTTCTGAGGGCCCTGGGTATAAACAGTGTAATACATCATTTAAACTTTGAACTTTTCTTTTAATTATAGCCCATTGGTTGGAAGGTATCATAAAATATTTGTTTGTAAAATGAGCATTAATCTGTTTTTTAAGTTGATCTTTTTTGTTCATGTTTTGTGAAATCACAGGGTTTCAAGGAAAATCTACATGCTGTTTTTTGCCTGGCTGAAAACTCGATTGGTCCCAAGGCAACTAGGCCAGATGATATTCTTCGATTGTATTCAGGAAAGTAAGTAGTAGTAATATTGTATCTTGGTAGATTTGAGTGGTTCCCAGATGCTACTTCTACATAATTATAGTGTGAGAGGGATTAAATGACAAGATTTATCTTTTTGTTACTGTTCCCCTGTGCATACGTGATTAGTGTTTTTTATCTCAGGCGTAAAGTAAGAAGTATTTCAGTATATGAAGTATTTCAACTAGGTAGCTGTGTCAGCATGCACAGGCTGCAAAGGAACAGGTAGCGGGTTTATTCCCTGCTGAAAAGCGAAGAAAAGAAATGAATCGTTTCGGCTGGGGAGCCTTCTTCAGGTGTGAGGGTCCAATATATGTCAGGTGGTCTTGGTGTAGAGTGTAGTTAGGTGTTGACAGTTTTGACAACTTTTTGAACTGTTTTTCAACCTGATGTGCATGGGACATCTGTGTGCTTTACAGAACTGTGGAAGTCAACAACACAGATGCTGGGGGTCGCCTAGCCTTGGCAGATGGTGCCGTGTACGCCAGTCGAGATCTCAAAGCGGACATCATCGTGGGTATCGGAAATCTTACTGCTGCCCAGGTAACAAGTCTTTATCCACATACAGATGGCAGCAGTCTTGCATTTAAAAATACAGTACATTCTGTGCTTGATGAGGGAGACACTTCCTACAGTACATTCTGTGCTTGATGAGGGAGACACTTCCTATTCAGTTTTAAATAGACTCTTTAAAAATAAAAAAATGATATGTAAAATTAATAAATGCCACTTTTAAACACTAAGGCCATAAAAATTGCTTTTTTTGGTGAAGTTAAAAATAAAAATTGTGCTTTGATCTAGGGCTGGGGGATAATTCGATAACGATAATTATCGCGATAAAATTTTCCTCGATATAAATTTAACAAAAGTTCGATAAATGTTCGATATATACGTTTATGCTTTGCACATGGTATGCGCATGCAAACAAAATACTGCGCGTGCGTGCATGCGTGTTGCAGACTGGGCTGCTAACGTGGTGGCTGAGTGGAGAAATGAGCAACACTGAAGCAAATGCAGTACTGCCATCGACCAGCTCGCAGGACGATGTCATCGTAGACAGAAAAGGTCATTCAACTTCGGTAATTTGGAGATATTTTGGCTTTTTACGATCAGACATAAAACAGAGCGCTTTAAACTTGTGTTCTTAAAATAAAGAGTTGTTAAATTTTCCAATTTACCATTTCTTTAACTTTCACTCAGGAGAAAAAATCTGCATTTAAACTTGAAAGAAATAATGATTTGAGATTTATCGCGATAATAATCTATATCGACTGATATGAAAATTTTTAGCGTGTTAATGTTTTTTGCCATATCGCCCAGCCCTACTTTGATCACACATGTAAGAGTTATGATCTCCAAGTGTGTGAAATAGGAATACCACATTAGTTATGAAATTTCTCTTCATTGCGATTGTTAATTATCATTAAAAAGGGTAGTACGTAATCGGAAAATATTTTTTTTTTTTCAGAAATGTGAATTCTGAAATTTGGTGACATCCATCCTATCAGTTTATAAACTGATCTTTTTTTCCAGTTTTATTTTCTCCTTTATCATTCCCTCTGGGCTCACACAAGAGGGAGCTCTAGTTGTCAGAAATAGACAGAGGTGGTTGAAATTGCAGCAATTGCACATTTCTGTGACGTTTGTTAATGTTTTCAGCCTGAAGGGAGCAGTCAGCAGGGAGGTGAACAAAGAAAGCACAGGTTTGATTCCATCGTTGAGACTGCAGTTGCATTACCTTTAACGTGACCTCCACTTGCATTTATGGTGTAATTAAATAATAAGAATAATATAATAATAAACTTTATCTTATATAGTGCCTTTAAAGTTGGCTTCTCAAAGCGCTGTACAGAATGACAACAATAAAAAGAATACACAAGAGCAAACACAATTACAATACACAGAGGAGACCGTGGATGGTGGTACTAGGAAAAGTAGAAGCAGAGGGGTGAAGAAAGAAACCAGTTCAGTAAAGGCTCTTCTAAAGAAGAAGGTTTTGAGACTGGATTTGAAGGAGTTTAGAGAACCTTGTCAGGACTGAGAAAGTAAATCGCAGATTGTATGAAGGTGTCGAAAAGAGAACGCGGTGCTTTTTTTTTAACTCTTCATCTTCTTCATACCTTTGCAAACAAGGGGCAGGAAGACGGCAACTGACTGCGGTTACCATAAGATCACTTCATTGGCCCTATACAATTTCTTGTATTAGAAATGTGTCTTTTCACATACCCCAGCCTGCTCTCCATGAGACACACAGACAGGGAGAGAAGCTGGGGGTCAGAGCGCAGGGTCAGCCATTTATACGGCGCCCCTGGAGCAGCTGGGGAGAAGGGCCTTGCTCAGGGGCCCAATGGAGTAGGATTCCTCTGCTGGCCGCGGGATTTGAACTGGCAACCTCCCAGCCACAAGCACAGATCCTGAGCCACAGAGCCACCGCTCCACCCTTTTAGTTGGGGAAAAGAAAAAGAGTGAGACTAGGAAATCCCTATGTTTGGTTCTGCACAATTAATGCTTCACAAAAAAACGGACCTGTGTTGGGTCAGTAGTCCGTGCACGCTGGGTTTGCTTCCCCTGAAGCTGTGTTTTGACTGTCGCCTCCAGGGCGTGGTGACGGGCCGATACCACGCAGGCCTGCTGACGAACAGCGCGGAGTGGGAGAAGGCCTGTGTGAGAGCCGGCCGGACCAGCGGGGACCTGGTGCACCCCCTCGTCTTCACGCCCGAACTGCACATCAGTGAGTTTTCATCCGCTATGGCTGACATGAAGAATTTTGTGAGTGTGAGTAATATCATAGCAAAGCAGTTCCAGGGACACGCTGACGCTGGCTTTTTTTAAGGCTTTGGTAACGATCCTTAAAAAAGTCTCATACTGCTGATGCTGTCGTTGCTGTGAAGAGAGTAAATTAAAAATGCATGTGGTGTTATTCTGTACTCGGTGTGCACTTTAAATTGCAATTGGTTCTGCTGCACATCCATTTTATGATAAACTTTTACAACTACTGTACTGTTTTAATGTAAAAAAGTTAATGCCACCTCCACAGTGCCACTTACACAAGATGTTTTTTTTATTGCAAGTTGTAAAGATATACTAGAGGAGTCCAATTCACAGTTAAGTTTAACAATTTGTTTTGCTTTGGATAAAAACTTCGAAACTATTTTGGAAGAAACTGTCCCAAGTGTTAAAAACAAGGATTACCTGTATAAATAATTTTCTTTAGTAGTTCTAACTGGGAGTTTGCTGCCATTAGTAAATAACTTGTACTAATTTGTAATAAATAATGAGTTACAATTGAAGAGCAGCTGTGGAAGTCTGGGATGCAGAACATCAAAGTAATACTGTGTATAGGAATAGTATTTAATTGCTTGATGAAGAATTTGTCCATGTTATTTCCTTACAGGACAGAAGTAATGCTCAGTGTTCATGCGCTGGTCTGTTTCTTGGGGCACACATTGGATTTAACTGGTCAGGAGTGTGGATTGATGTGGACATGGGCTGTCCTGCGTATAGTGTGAGTAGGCCATTGCAAAACCAGGTCTCTTTTTATGGAGTTTACATAAGGTGTCTATTCTTACCTAAATCAAATCCTTATCACTGAATGCTGACTCAAAACATGAAAAAGAAGTTCCAGGTAAATTAAAAAAGTGCCCTACGCTTATCTTGATGAACAAACTCAATTTTAATTGAAGAATCTATGACTTTACAAGTCCCCTGTGAAAAATGACCAGTGATTTAACTGTCCAAGATACGGCAGCTGGCCCCTGATGTGCAGTCTATGTGTTGTGCACCAGGGGTTTCGGAAGAAGGCGGATGCCGGAGGTGAAGGTTACTGAGCCGTTGTGTTTTCCGCCTGATGCAGGGAGACAGAGCTACGGGGTACGGCGTGGCCTTCCTTCTTGCGTTGTTCGGACAAGCGGCGGACGACGCCGAGCTGCAGATGGTCTCCCCTTTGGGGTCGGTAGCGGACGGACACGTGGAGAACTGTGAGCCAGCAGGAAGTGCCCTGAAAAGGAAGAGACTGGTCTAGTCAGTCTGTAATGGTGACGCAGCACGTAGCGGCGCAGTCCTCCGGGTAACTCGGAGGGTTTCACTCTTACCTACGGACTCAGGCACCTGCCTGTGGCTTTCAGAGTGAATGCTAAATGTGGTGCATAAATGCCTTGGAAGTGTCATTTGCTGTCGTGCCTGTTTAATTTAATGATAAAATATATTCAGGCATGGTAACGGTTTCAGCATGGAATCAGAATTATTTTTAAGACTCAAGAATGTGCACGGATAGGAATGAAGGTGAAACTGACTTTTGACATTTCAAAGTGGCAGAAATAAAATTGTGTTACTGTTTTTTCATGTGAAAGTGTGATACATTGCATGCTTTAAAATCATAACTCCTGTGATTGCTGCATTTTCAGCATATATCAACACATGAATATATTTCTGAGCAAGTCTTACATTTTAGGTCAGTTACTCGTTGGATACATAATGTTATTTCCATTTCATTTTAAATAGTGAGCACATGGGGTAGAACTGTTCCTTCTTATAACCAAGCGTTGGTCTTGAGTCATATTATTTTACAACAGTGCCACGTGGTTAATGGTAGTTGAGTAGAAATTGAGAATCTGTTTAAATCGCCATTCAGAAAGACAATTTTAATAAACGTACAAAATGTTAGACAACTTATAACTAGAGGACTGTAGGTTCAAATCTAAGGTTGCTGTTGTATTCTTGAGGTTACAGTAGAGCATTTTTCTCTTTTCTCCAGTAAAGCTAATTGTATAAATATAAAAAACGACAGAAATAGGTAGCATTGGTATTGTTATATTAAAATAACATTACAAGTTACCCGTTCAAATAGGTAACAATGTAAATTATAATTGTTACTCTTATAGGCTAGACCTGAACAGCCAAAACAATGGCTCAGTGAGGCAGGGGCTGAGCATGATAGAGCTGCCCAGTCCTGCATGTGGCATGCCGGGAAGAAATAGCCCACATTAACATCGGGGAATAACTGTAGTTCTTTGTGTGCGCGAAAAAGATGCGTGGTGGCATACTGAAGAGTAATGCTGAGAAGTGACGGTCGTCATCTGTGGGTCCAAGAACATTTGAGGTGGTGGTGGAAGAGAGTGTTGGAGAGTGGTATTCAATACCTGATGCCATTTGCATTTGACAGACCAGAAAGAAGTCAAACTGTGGAGACGTTGTAATGTTATAGTTACATTGTCTTGGGATTGTTAAAGGTTCGAACCAACCAGTGAAGCAGCATTGACTGATGTGGACATGGGTGAATTTCCTTTAACACAGCAATTGCTTTTTGGTGAGTCCTGCCTGATGCAGTCTCAAGTGAAAGCGCTTTTTTTCAGGAAGTGCAAGTCAAACCAGAAGTGTTTTTTAAATGGGTCAGTGCAAGACTACATCGTACAAGGATGATAATGGCACGACATGAAAACTAGATATTTTTCGTGGCTAGTTTCTCATGACTTAAACAGTGTCTGTGGGACCATGACTCAAATGCCATCAACAGGAGACAACTGTGACCACTAAAACTTAGCCGGTTTTCTGCAGCGGCACAGGAAGAGGGGTGGAACATCCCACAGCAATCTGTCCGGAGGCTGATCAGGACTGTGTGTTACTGAACTTTATTAATAATCCAGGGAGACCAAATTCACTACTAACTTGTTCACACTGAAAACTAACGATTCTTTAGCAGGGCAGAGCCACACAGTGCTGGGATTAGAATGGCATGTCTTTAAGAAAACCACAGCTACATTTTTTCTTCTGGCTTCTGAGTATCTATAGGACTAACTTGCCAACACAACTGAGGCATTCTGGGAGATGGAAAGACAATCATTGCATTCCAGAATAAATAATTAAAATTGTAAGACATTAACACATTTAAACCAAAGAGAATAGGATATTCTAGGAAGTGTATTCTTATTCAATTAGCCGTTAACTAGTTATTCATATATCAAGACCCACAGCTTTTTTATACTAACAATTTCCAATGAAGATTACACAAATGAAAGAAACATTAAGCATTGAATTAACATTAATAATATTGCCCATCCCTTTTTTCCCAAACTTCTTTGTGACAAACGTGTTGCAGCTAAGGGTGTCAAACAAGTGAACATCACACCATTTGGGAACTGGAGAACCTGCTAATATACCCTGAAGGACTAGAAACATTTTCGTGTTGACTAGTAACTCCCCAAAATGTTAAATGCTGATCCTGAAAAAATATTGAAAACTAGTTTGTTTTTTTTTCCTATATCTGCAACAAATACAGTACTTTGGAAGTCACATTACAATATGGGCCTTGATAGAGGAAAATAGAAAAAAAAATAAGAATCCAGGAACACTTTACAATGTCTGTATTTGGAATACAGAATTACATATGAAGTAATAATACATCCTGTCCTATGGAGCTAATGTGAAATGCACATTGTCGTGACATTCACTGGCTATTCATATGATTTTCTCCATGGATTAAACTTGAACACCCACTTATTGTATAGTGGTATCAAAATCTGATTCAACAGTGTCATACAGATCCCGTCAGGATGTTAAAAATATAGAAGGATTTTAAGCATTTTAACAGTTACGCTTCAGGGGTAATTTAATTGCAAATGACTCATCTGTCTGTGTTAAGAAACGTAACAAATCCTTAGCATAGGTTACAATCAGGTTATTGACACTTGACTAATGCTCATTTTAAGTTAGAGGTTTTAAATGGAATTTGCATCCCCAGATCTGAAGCCATTTTATGCTACTGAAACCTGTCATGATATATGCAACAGACACATCACGTAAGAGGGGGGGGGGGGAAAGCAAACCCAGTGGGAAACTATAAAATATTAACAACAAAATGCTAAGTTTCTCTGTGAAACTGGAAAAAAAAACTTCAAACCTGCTGTATGCACAGGAACTTAAAAGATATTCATTCACTTGAGCACAATGAGGAGAAATCAGGGATACAGCAATAATTCCAGTTGTGTGTTCTGCACGATTTCCTTTTAGTGGCTCACCTTCACCATTTTAATACCCTCCGTTTGCAGTCATGCCTGTTTGCTGTTCAAAAAACATCTAAGCATAGCAAAAAAGAGATTACAAATGTGTGATTGTGTGACATGCCACTACGACACAGGCATTGGGTGGTCACTAGGTGGCAGGAGTACCACACAATTACAGGAAGAGTAAATCAACTTTATTTTGATATAGTGCCTTTAAAAGTGGCTTCTCAAAACTGAACACCATCACTGAAGCAAATTGTATGTAAATCTTAGTTCCAAACAGAAATGCTTGTTATACACACAGGTCTACAAAATGACTTGCTTTGATGTAGTGTTCATTATATCCTCAGGTGTCCTGACACATAATATTGATAGGTGTACTGTAGCTGACTTAAGTATTGTTGTATCAGTAAGAACAAAACACAAATTTGCCGAGTTGGATCTGACATTAATTTTAACCTTTGCAATTTTCCAGTATATTCCTGACTCTTGTCTTGGGTTATGTTTTATCGTGTATTCTTTTTTATTGTTGTTCTCATTCTGTAAAGCACTTTGAGAAGCCACCTTTAAAGATGCTATATAAAATAAAGTTTATTATTATATTATTGCTGTTGTGAGGTCTTAAGCTAAATAAGAACAGGTTTGTATACATTGTTGTGGTAATATTTACTATGGTTTTAAAAATTGAAGCCCAAAATACTTTCTCCAGTTGTAAAACTTGTCTCTGTTACCAAACACTAAGCAAGCCTGGGTCTGATTTAAACTTGAATGAGAGACCCATCCAAAAGAAATTTGTAGTGTTCCAAATTAATTCCTTTGTGAACTTTTGTTCCTTTCTTTCGGATACAGATGGCACAGCAGTGTGACAGAAAGTGCCATTTCTAATACACTACACCAAAGCTTGGCAGTCCCACTTGCTCTTGTAACACCAGCACAGGCCTGGGAGGGCGGAGGCCCACTCACACCACACTGAACACGTGCAGCATCATGGGCTTGACATTTCTTTGTACAGCGGGGCTTCCCTAGAGGCGGGCAGGTAGCTACAGTCGTCCCGCAGGCCCATACGCAGTGACAGGCGCAAGAGAAGAGGATTGCCAAGACCGTTTCACCCTCTTGTCCATGCTCACTGGGGGATCCTGCACTCAGCCCAACGATGATTCCACAGCCTTCGTATCCCGGCTATGATCCATGCTTTTACCACCAGGAGCCAAGTGGGTGCCAGAGCTTTAAGAATACTGTCAAGTGTCATCAGAGGCGAAGATCGCAATGGGCTTTTAAAATTACAGATCACTTACGAATGTCACCTCTGCTATCTAAATTTAGTACACCACTAAGACATATCATGTTCAATCATCCGCGTGCACTCATAAACCAACTCTATTACATTAGCATTCTGTTTTACTTAAGGGTATAACAAGCAAGAAAACTTAAATATCTTTCAAACAGCTTTGCAACGTGTGCTTTATTTCCAGACCATTATTGAATCACAATTCATCATTTTACCATACAAGTACTCAGTCAGATAGATTTTTCTCCCTTTTTATCCTAAAAATGTATGTACATGGAATGAAAATTAATAGCAAGATCATTTTTTGTTTTTGTTTCATGCTACAATGTATTCTAATGTACTGTATAGTTGTACTGATTTTAGCTCCAGTCTCATAAACAGACTAACTTGACTGAACCTTAAGAACAATATTTTGCTTTCTTTTCTTTTTTTTTGCTCTCTATTTATGTGGAAATAGAAATCTGAGTTAAAAGTCTTTTTTAAAGAAATTAAAAGTCCGTAAAAATACACTGAGAGTTTAAGAAGATGAAAAATGCATTCATACAGTATAGGACTACAGTCATGAAGTTCTTCCAGGTATAGTTATCCAAGGCATATCTACATCACACTGAACAACAGCTCATGGAAAGGGCTCCTTGGGTTGAAATATAATGAGATATGATGTAATGATGTGTTCAGAATGGAAATGAGGAGTAGTCCCCTCCAGGTGAGATGATTAAATTCTTTTCCTGAGAAAAATATCCTTAATGGTTCGCACATTGTTTAGTTGAAGGTAGAAACAAAATAAGGCAGATAACAGATTGTCATATAACTTGTCTTCTGTGTCTCAAAGCCCTTCTCTTCCATTCCCACAAAGCGCAATATTTTCCAGATTAAAAAATAAAATAACTCTTAAAAAAAGTGGCCAGTGTTTTTCAGCCGGTTGCTGCCCTTCTGTTTCCAGGAGAGGTTGATGGAAAAACAAAGCGTCCTTTCAAGTTTACAGCCAGCCATTAAGGACAGCATATTGCACAACCCTCGTTTTTATGTTATTCCCATCTGAGAAAGTGAGGGAAACCGAAAGACAGAAGAATAAATGTAGGAGTTGTACAATAAACACCCTCAGACAGAACAATCTATAAGGAGACAGTTAATCCACCAGAAATTCCTGGAAGTCTTTGGAATAGCATTAAAAAAAATGCAGAATCTTCTTTTGCTTCCAGGGCTGTGTTTTAAAGGCAGTGGGAGCAGGAAGCTCGGACCCTTGGCCCTGCCAGGGAAGAAGCTAGCACTGCCCCTTTCTTGCGCAGAACGCATAGGTATTCTGACGGTATTGTGCTCCTTGCTTGCGGTTTTCCCGGCGGCTCTCACTGCGTCTTCTCCCGAGTCCACTTGATCATGGTCTCGGGCGACCTGTAGAGGAAGATCAGCTTGGCGTAGAGGTCTTCCTCCAGCTCCAGCTCGCCGGTCTCGCGCACCAGGAAGATGTCCGTGCACAGCTTGAGGATGCGGTCCACGTTGGGCAGCTCCTCGAACATGATGGAGTGGGAGATCCCACTGAAGAACTCGCGCACAAACTTCCCGATCACCAGCACCACCGAGGCGTACAGGCCCATGATCCTGTAGGGAGGAAACAGGAACGGAGCTCTCTCACTGTAATTCACACTTAAGTGTGAATCAAGAACCTCCTAAACACTTTAAAAGCTGCCGAAAAATAATCCGTAAAAGGATATTAAAAATAAACTATTTTTCCTGCCATTTTAATCCAAAGCATCTAACATTTTCAACTCATTTACATAGCTGGGGATTGACTGGAACAGCTCAATTAATTGAGCACTTAATCAAATTGTATAACACAGTAGTGAGGTCTAATTTAGAAAACTGTGTACAGTTCTGGTCACCTCTGCACAAACAAACATACTGCAGCTCTGGATTTAGTCCAGAGAATACCAAACAGATACATTCTGTTACTCAAAGAGCTGTCCTGCAATGCCAGGCAGAAAGAATTGAACATCATTGGTCCTGAACAGAGAAGACTACGTGGGGACTTGATACAAGTATTCACAATTCTCAAAGACATTGACAAAGTCTCTTCAATTCAAAATACTTTTTTCGGGGGGGGCAATTGACGACAATGTCAATGTACTGGTCTACTTCAGAACATAACAGTGAACCCTGAACCAGAAGTCACAAGTGGAAACTACTCAGAGCTGACTTTAACATTTAAAAGTGAGAACAGGAGGCACTTATTTACCTCCTTGTGTAGGTTGTGGGAGGCTGTAACAATACTGTATACTAAGCCATGTGGTTGAAGGCAATACTTTAGCTTCCTTCAAGACACAGCTGGATGAGATCTTTGCATTAATTCACTAGTAACTACAGTACCTAACAGGTAAGATGAGCATAAATGCCCTCCTTTCTTTGTAACCTTTCTTCTATTTTTACATCTGTTTTTCTCAAATTGAGATTATGACAGTGTGTACTGTGTATCAGTCCTTCCGGAAATGAAGGGGAAGCTGTGGAAAGTGGTATCTCACACAAGCAGCTGCTCCATTAGTCAAGTGAAAAACAGTGCCATTGTTGGGCTCCCAAACCTAAGTACTCTGAATGGATCAAAATTTAGAATTTAGAAGCCTCGTAAGGTTTAAGATTCCCACTAATGGTATGCTCTTTTTTAAGACAAACCCCAAAAAAAAGTCCAGCTCACCCATATCCTGCAAGGAAGCCTAAGCTCGGAGGACTGACTTTATCACTGAACACAAACATTTCCAGGCCTGTCATGCTGCTGTGATCAGACTTCTGGATGCTCAGTCTGCTGGTCTGGTTTATAATCCACCACTCCTGGATCTCCTCTGTGTCGTTGCTTTTCCTCTCCAGTCTCAGGGTGATGTTTTTATATGCTTTATCTAGTAGGGATTCCAAGAGAATTAACGCCAGAATGTGCTCGTGCAGATTGAACAGGTTCTACACACCAGGCGCTAGCAGTGGTTAGGAAATAAAGTGCACGCTGTTGGCAGTGGAAGCCACAACCCCCTTTACCCCGACATACTGCACCATAATTAATCAAGCCCATCAGGAGAGCTGGCCTTAACATTCCACTGCACCACAGGAAAAATCGGGAAAGCATAAGACTTCCCCAATTGCGACTAAATCAGCATTTTTCACATAAAATAAAAACGTATCGGCAAACCAGATGAACTTGAACTTATTTTGATCAACTTTTTTTTTAAATCAAATTATAACGTGATGAATAATTCACTTTGGAACTTTTACTGGTGATATTGTTCCTGACATTACCAGTTACCGTACGTCAAACAGCACGTCAAACATTTCTAAACGCGATGGCTTGCTATGAAAATATCATTCTAGGCATACCTAGATAGAGCTGCTGGATGGGTTTCGCATTCGAATCGCTGGGAGCTCGGATGAAGCATGGGAAAACATTATCTATTAACCTGTAAAAGAGAAAACAAAATCAGAATACCCTCAGTCTATTGAACAGACCGTCAAATGGCTGAAAACTGGGCCAAATACGTATACTTACACAGCCGTCTTCCTCGTTCCATTTAATAAAGCTATAAGCTCTTGTTTCGTCGACTGGTCGAGATAGTTTATGTGCTTATCCTGTGCTGTTTCCACTTTTGCACCCAGGCTCATATTCCTGCATAAAATTGAAGCAAAAGGTTTTGACACTGTGTTTCATACACATGCAATTCCATATTCTTTCATAAAAAAAAACAATCACCATTTTTAAGTTCCACCTGGTTTGCGAATTGCCAGTTTCAAATGTCAGATTTGTCCTCATATCTACGAAGCCCCAGGACCACATGCAGGAGAGAGAGAGGAAGAGGTGGCAGTTTTCCCCACCCTTCCCCCTTTGAGCCAGTCAGCTTTTCACACATCACAGGCACCACGGGCCTGTACTGGAGCTTCAACAGGGGATCGATACATTGCCAAGAGCAGTGACAGGCCCGGCCGACTACTGCCACTTGACCGTGCACCTACGCTTGGGGAATCCCAGTTACAGTCAGCTAGTGACACGACCGAGGCTCAAACCCGTGACTCTGCCACTAAAAGTAAAGTGTGCATATACAGTCAACAAGCAAGAGCAACACATGAAATGCAAAGCAGTTCCATTTTTTTTCCACCATTTTTACCTGACTGCCTTCATCTAAATTTGCTTTGTCCTTTCTTAGTTATTAAGTCTACTGACGAAAGTCATTGATGGAGGTGGTCTGTTCTATTCTTGAAAGGAATTCTGTTCTCCATACAAGGCAGGGATCAGAGCTAAAGCAATTCAAGTACAGGAGCAAAGTGTTCTGGTTAGTCATTAGGGCGGAGCAGTGGCTCTGAGGCTCAGGATCTGTGCCTGTGGCTGGAAGGTTGCTGGTTCAAATCCTGCGGTTGGTAAAGGAATCCTACTCTGTTGGGCCCCCGAGCAAGGTCCTTCACCCCAACTGCTCCAGGCGTGCCATATGAATGGCTGACCCTGTGCTCTGACTCCAAGCTTCTCTCCCTGTCTGTGTGTCTCATGGAGAGCAAGCTGGGGTATGTGAGAAGACAAATTCCTAATGCAAGAAACTGTATATGGCCAATAAAGTGATCTCTCTTTTAGAGGAGAACTTGCACTGACGGGAGGAGTGAACTGGTGACACTGCAAGATAACAGTTGCCTGGGAGGTCTCAGATGTTGCTGTTGTGTATGAACATACAGCTATGGACTTTGCAAGGTGTAGCACTTAGGAAATATTACAGTGGTGAAAAGATGAATATTGGTAAAATGTATTATACTGTATGTTTCACTATGTGCTCCTAATAAGAGCAATTGTGAGATAAATCACCTACAGTATGAAAACTACAATAATGTTGTAAAATGAGGGTATATAGTATTTGCTATTTACAGTATATACTGTACATATTTTAGGCATCAGTGTTAGCTCTTGCTAATAACAACATTGTACTTAATTAACATTTACACCCATAACTCAAAGTGACTGCTCTTAAAAAGATTTGGAGTGTGCTTTTTGAAGGTGAAATATACAGTATACAGTATGTTACTTAACTGAAATTTGAACAAAGCTGCTTTTATAAAATTAATGACTATAAAAAAAAAATATATATTGTCCCAACTAAATAAGAAGTGGATGTGCTTCTTTCTGGTACAGTTTGGGCTGTGTTACAAAGTTCACTGACTTTGAAGACAAATTCATAATGCAAGAAATTGTATATGGCCAATAAAGTGATCTTATCTTTGTATTGTACTTAACACCTTCAGAGCATACCTTTGTATAGTCCAGAAGACAGTAACAGGGAATGTGTTATTATTGCTCAGCATCTTGATCAGGTTGTCTCGACTGGGAGGGCTGATGGTCCACAAGGCATTAGAACTCCCTTCAAGTTCTGCCACTGTGACATCTTCATGGGTGTACGCCTCCAAAAACTGCATGGCTCCCTAAACACATTGATTAAAAGAGCAGTGTGCTTCATGTGACACAGCAAAAGCATTAGCTATATTCTTGTACAAGTGAGCAGTCCTGAGACCCCAAAAAAACACCATGCTGCTTAAAAACGAAACTCATCAACGGTCATTTTTATGACAGGTTACATTTCTTAATACTGGTTTTAATATGCTTATTATTAAATGAAACTTGAATACGTTTTCACAGGAGGGTTTCAAATGTACTTACAGCAGAAGACTCATATTCACCCAGAAGTTTATTAAAATCATCACTGGAAAGGTTTTTTAACTGATTTTGTTGGGCGCTCATAGTAAAGATAGGCTGGGGAAATAAAAAAAGAGAAGGAAAATACTCTTTGCAAGACCCGAAATGCTTTCCCCGATTACGACATTGGTTTATACTGGTTATTCAGCAAGCACTCCCATTGCTACTGTAGGTCACTATCACACAAGATCCACCCGTAGAGCTCATACACACCTGTCAAAATATACAGCAGGGAAAAAAACCCTGGTAAAATTTCCGGTATACCTGGAAGCCCCCGAGAGTTATTTTGATGGAGACGTCTAGAGGTTTATTGACGACTCCGGCCACAGACTTGACGAGGGACATGAAGAGCAGCGGAAACCACACGATGCAGATCAGCAGCACCACGATCATGCCTCCCATCCCATACTTCACCACCTTCTTCTTCTTCTGCCCCCGCGGCTGGGGGTACCTCTGCAAAACACAGGTCCGCCGTGAGCAGCTTCCCGCCCCCGCGTGCGACCACTACCGCCACCGCGGACCCCCCGGGACCTTTCAGGCACTGTGGATGAAGGATCACCCCGAAGCGCACTTGAAAACTACAGCGAAAGACGACGCGGCTGACTCGTGTGCCTTCGGTAACCCCCATTTCTCCTAGGAGGGCTTTAATACGATTCTCGAACTTCAGACAGTTAGATCGGCTGCCATTAGCTTCTGCAGCAGAGTGTCTGGGGCTTCTAAAAATACCTCTGCTGGCTGTTCGTTCTGGCAACACTGCAAGACAAATTGCAAAAAAAAATTAAATGGACGTGCGTGTGGGGAAACTCATTCCACTGCATTAGCGGGCACTGACCTTCTCCGACTCCCTCCAGCACTTCAACACAAATATGTGAGCGTAGATGTCCTCCACGCAGATCCAGCTGGACAAGCTGAGGGTGGTGTCTGTCCACACCCAGTCCATCACAGCCCTGAGCTCCGTCAGGAAGGGCACGAGTCGAAACCTGAAAAACAGGTGGACGCCAATGCGAAATCGGTCCTGCTGCAGGATACTCTCTGTAATGACTAGCGAGGCGGCAGGAAGAACAGGGTAAAGAAGACCATCAAAGCACTCATTTGGTGGCAGTGTCCAGTGAAAGTAATAGATGGAATTCAAAAAATGAACACAAGAAAAGGCAGACTATCGCTTTTAAGAAATGTTATCGTCCCTTTCTTCAAGTTCCTTAAATGAAATAAAGGAACAAGTAAAAGTTTATTTTTATTCTCCACCCTGAAAAGAGAATAAAAGAAACACAACGTTTCGGCCGTAGAGCCTTCTTCTGTTGTTCTTCCACAGCCGAAACGTTGCGTTTCCTTTCTTCTCTTTTGGGCAGGGGATAAACCTTTACCTGCTCCTTTGCAGCCTACGCACGCTGACACGGCTGCCTGCCTGAACCAAATTAAAGTTAATAAGGGAATCATGTGTGACACAATTTGGTGCCTCACTAATTTGGAAATCGGACGAGCTCACTCACCCTTGGAATAAGAAGAGGTTGACATAGTTGTAGCTCTTAGTCAGGAAGTTGCCAAGCACTCGGGTTGGATAACCACACCGGATCTGATAGGCCGATAATCCAAAATAAATGCACTTCACAAAGTACCACAGCTGGGCTACAGTGTTCTGACTGAACCGCCTGGAGGACCACAAAAGAAATGCTGTCTGCAGTTCGTTCATCTACAGAATGTGAACTGAAGCTGCTTTGAAAAATGTTATCAGGCACAGTACTGTCAGGCCTGTTTTGATTTTCAATATAAATATTGTTCATTTTCAAAGCCCACCCTATGGTCTTTTGAGATTCACATGAAATTCCACAGCACAGTTAAAAGTTTGAACACATTTCATGATTCTGAAGTGCACAGATATTCTGTAGTTTAGTTACAAGAAATTAAGACAATGTGACTGCATGTTATTTTGGGCAGAGCACTCTCTGGTGTTTTCAAGAAGCTTTGGAGCTCTGTGAAAGAATCGTCACCTCTAACTGAATCACGGATAGTGTAGGCACACCTTAAATTACATCCTATATTAAGTATAACCCATTTCCTAGACATTTTTAAGGGGCGATTTATACAGTGTCTTCCTTGTCAATAACATCTGTAGATACACGGTATGGGAACATATTAACCAAGATGTTTAATTCAATATGAAGTTAAAACTGATGATGGCTACTAAGGAGCAGGCAGTTACCAACTAAATATTTGTCAGGTTAATAGTTTTGGTCTGATGTTTCCACCTTTGGATTGCCATTGTCCATCATATGGATTTCAATCCGTCTTGTCATACAACACTTAATATTAGTTGCACTGGATCAAAACATGTGAACCCCTGTTAAACCTAATGCAGAGAACTAACTGGTGCGAAATATTCACTTATCCGTACCTCTCTGTCACGCCAGGTAGGATGAAGAACATCCAGAAGTGAATCCCAAAGACCAAGATGACTTGGAAAATCACTTTCCCCGTGACAGTCTTCCTGAGGTACAGGGCACGGTCCACCACCATGGTCCCGAACTGTATCAGCACCATCACCAGGAACGCCTCAGGAACCTGGTCCTCCGACAGGGAGGATGTGATATCTGCAGCGGCCGAATGTTTCTGTGCAGAAGAACCGCAGAAAGGATTTAATTGGACAAAGGATTACCAGATCGGTCACTCAGCTTCTGGTGGATATTGGGAGTGGATACACCGCGTTCTGGAGAGGTAGAGGTATTGTACTGTATAGTGCTCTTTTTCAAAAAGAGTTTGTGTACAGGACGTTAGCTTAGATGAATCAAGGGTCAGGATCTGTATGGTTTAGACTGATCAAAAACAGTCTAAAGGCATGACGTTAGTGGGATGCTACAAGCCACCAGATTCGGATGACAGGATCACATGTCAGGAAGACGTTATCAAAGTAGATTTTAATTTTCCTCTATGGGAAAGGGGAAAAAATGGGAAAAACCATTATGGACATCAGAGCCGAAATGATTGACGTGGATAGAGGCTGCTTTCTGACTGTAATGATCAAGTCTTTCCAATGAAGGCACACTGAGGAATCCCCAGGTCCAATAAAAACTGTGGAAGTGTGATTAAAATATTGTACTGTATTTGTACTGTACAATATTTGAAGTGTATTTTGAAACAGAACAGATAAAGTGCAAACCTAAGGTTTATGATCTCAGGAAAGCTGACTACAAAGGAATAAGACAAGGAAGTGGTATGGGGGAAGAGATGTGGAATAATTAGATCACGGATGGCAGCGGTTTAAAGATATTCTTCAAGAAGTCTGTTTGAATTAAATTGAATTAAACGGGATTTGCACTTGCTTACGTAGAAATAAACAGACCTCTACATACCCCAAATGCCCAAAATCCAAACACGATGATTATGAAGTCAACGGTGTCAGCCAAAAACATCAACACATAGACATCCGTCACGGCGCTGTACTCAGGGTGGATCAGATTGTAGAAGAACCGGCGAATGGGGATGTAGACTTCAAGAGTCCTTCAAGGGGAGAGAAGAAGAAGAGGAATTTTTCATGGTAATCTTTCCTGTTGTTTTTCTTGTGGAATGCTTAATTTTTTTATTTTCACTTTCTTAATTTCTAAGCAGCCGGTTCCTCATTAACTCAGTCTGGCATTGCAATATATACTGTACATATTTTAGGCATCAGTGTTAGCTCTTGCTAATAACAACATTGTACTTAATTAACATTTACACCCATAACTCAAAGTGACTGCTCTTAAAAAGATTTGGAGTGTGCTTTTTGAAGGTGAAATATACAGTATACAGTATGTTACTTAACTGAAATTTGAACAAAGCTGCTTTTATAAAATTAATGACTATAAAAAAATATATTTTGTCCTAACTAAATAAGAAGTGGATGTGCTTCTTTCTGGTACAGTTTGGGCTGTGTTCACTGATTTTACTTTAACATACTATGACACTAAGCACCCATTTATTTGAAAGTATCATCTGTGAACATCTTCATCAAGAAACAAGGAACTAAATACATTTCTCTGGGCCTGAATGTCAGAAGCCATCTATTTTGCTGTCAGGCTAATTATAACAAATGTTTTTTTTAATTTCTTATTTCTGTGAACAACACTAATAGTGATGGCGAATTAATGACACATACCAGAACAGAACTGTCTCCTTTCTAAATACAGTATATCAAGACATGCAATATGTGCCTGAAGAGAGAATTGCAATAAAGAACGCACTTCTTAATTGTAAAGGCCTTTGCGATGATGAGCTGCTCCTTCAGTTTCTCAAGTATAAGCTCTTTGCGGGTCTTCTGCTGGACGCTGAGAACACTGCTGCCTTTTCTGCTGCTATTCCTGGTGCTGGTGCTTCCTACAAGACAATTGCATGGCACATTAAAGCCCTGCCTGCAGGTAATGGACTTACCACCTGGATGATGCGCCAGTACGCTCCCCACACACCAGCTCTCAGTGGGGAGGGGAGCAGAGTGATGAAGCCAGTTCAGAGATGGGGATTATTAGGAGGCCATGATAGGTAAAGGCCATTGGGAAATTTGGCCAGGACGCCCGGGTTACACCCCTACTCTTTTCGAGAAACGCCCTGGGATTTTTAATGACCGCAGAGAGTCAGGACCTCGGTTTTACATCTCATCTGAAGGACGGCGCCTTTTTTACAGTATAGTGTCCCGGTCACTATACAGGGGCATTAGGACCCACACAGACTGCAGGGTGAGCGCCCCCTACTGGCCCCACTAACACCTCTTCCAGCATCAACCTTTGCTTTCCCACGAGGTCTCCCATCCATCCAGGTACCCATCCAGGTACTGACAGGCTCACACCTGCTGAGCTCCAGTGGGCTGCCAGCGGTGAGCTGCAGGGTGACAGGGCTGCTGGCTGTATACAGTAGTTAGACATACTGTACAGGTGAACAGATGTGGTTTGAACTTTAAAAAGCAGACAACCTACGTGGACTGCCTCCAGCTCATTACATTCTTTACTGGGGTTCGACAAACTGCTCTTCTGGAAGAGCAAGGGTCTGAAATCCCCCGGCTGGTGGAGCTGTCCCTACCTCTCTTGGACCTGCCGGAGGATCGGGAGGACCTGTGGGAGATCTGGGATCCCGCGCTGGAGCTCTTCCTGCGCACCGGGGTCTGGGGCTCTGGGAAGTGCACGTGGACCGACTCCAGGGAGGCCGCCAGGTTGATGGACTTAAGGGAGCCGGCGGAGCCCCTCCGCTCGGCCGACACAGAGCCCTCGTCCTCGGAGTCGTCCCTGTGTGTGGCCTTTTCCGCCACGCCGCCATCGTCCTCATCCCACAGGCCATGGCACTGTGGGGGAGACACAAGCAGCACGTCTCTCCGAGGCCTTGATCGCAGCCGCAGCACATAGACGGAAACACCGCTCGAATGACAAAACTCCACACAGACATACGCACGTAAGGTAAAAAAAGGTCTTTTTATCGTACTGGCAGGTATCTAAAAGTTTCAAACTCACTATGGAGATCTACAGCGACAGCCTGTTGCTTGTCTTGGGACAGGGAAAGAATACACAACTCTGGTGTTTAAATCGTCTGCAGGGCTCTTAATACTCATTGGCTACTGAAAACGCTAGGGCATCGTCCCCCCCGAGGAGTCCCAGGAGTGCTCGGACCCTCTGTGTGGAGCGCTGGGCTTGTCCACGGCCCCTGTGGGCTGAGTGGGTTCGGTGCCTGAGATGCCTGAATATGAGTTCCCACAGCACTACACTCTGACCTTTCGGGGTTAATGTCAGACATCTGTGGAACACGGGTATCTCATCATCTCCGGATCACAACATTTCTAGAACGGGTTAAGCCGAGCACGTGGTCTTCTGTTTTTCTATTTCTTAACGGCTTGAGGGCCACATGAACACTGAACATCGACAGGGGAAAAGAACAAGAGACAGACTGCTGGAAACGCCAGAAAGGAGAGTACCTTAAGTATGGACCTGTGGAAGAAGAGAGCGAGGAGCTGGACCAGGTCGTAGTGCACATAGCCCTCCTTCTTCTCCACACCGATGATGTTTGGCGGGTGATAGGGCTTGCTCCTGTCCACTTCTACGTTCTTATTGAAAGGGAAGAAGCCAAACTGGAAGAAGTATTTAATCACAATTGTCACCTGGAACGAAAAAAGCCGACGAAAGTGCAATGTTAAAAAAAACACCCTGAGAGTATTGGTCATTTGCTGTCTTCTATGAAAGAAAAAAAACGTATTAATTTCCTTATTCATTTTCGTATCATTTACCATGGACACACCAAGACGGTTGTAGAATGTCATATATTTAAACATGCTGTTTATAGGTATTATACATTGATAAGTGTTAATGTAACAGCATTAATGTCTGACTACAATTTTTCATACTTATTACCAAAGCAATGCCCTGTACAGTGATGGGTGAAACTGATCCCATGGTCCTGTCTGTAATAGTAGGGATGTTAACCCCCATGTCCTGGCTGGATTAAGCTTTCCTCCGGGATGCCTAGGTTTCCTCCTTAATTTATCTGGTAAAGGAATTTCTCCACTTGAACTGCTCAGTGGTGGGTCATCATGCCGCACATCACCCAAGCATCATTGCAGTGTTGAATGAAGTGGCTTCTTAGTGTGTATAAAGTTCTGGGACCCCTTGGAATTTTGGATGAAACATGCATACGGATGGAAGTATTTTTTTTTAAATGAACTTCTACCCACGACGATTTATCAGTTTGACTATTCATGAATTTATCAGATCCTAAAGTATACACTACCAAATTTACGGAGGCAGGATACAATACTGTACATCCCCTTTGTCACGCGATTCAAAGACAGGATACAGAATGCCTTGACAACAATTCCCATCCCACAGGGCCAGCTGGAGGCACTCACTGACCACTCTACCTAGTTATTTCAGTAGAACAATACTGCTGAAGTCGGTGCAGTGCAACAGAAGTACAGAATTCTAGGGCTAACATTGAATAGTTGTCTCCACACATTTATAAAAACCTGCCAGAAAATGCCAGAGCTGGTGCGGCTTCCCGAGCTGAAACCTACCTCCGTGTAGACAATAGCCGTCATCCAGAAACGTTTGCTGGGTCTGGGAACAGAAAGCATCGCCCACAGGAAGATGAGGATGGGAAGCACTAGGGTGACCATGGAGGCTGAGATCATGTGGTTGAGGATGATGACAAAGTAGCACACCATTTCAGAGTGAGCAACCAACATGTTGTAGAGGGCATAGAGGAGCTGCAGGATCTGAGGCTGGGTCCTGTAAAACCTTTCAGAGGACTCCAGCTCTTCGTCGTAAAACATCCTGGGCAGAAAAACAAGGAGCAATGACACTGAAACCCCTCAAAAGAGTTTTTGGCAACATGTTCAGGATTAATCGATACATTTAATTTATATAGCACATTTCATTACAATAGATCTCAAGGTGCTTCACCAAAAAGTAAAAGCTCAAAAAGAGAAATCAGGGAACTCAACAGTAACCAAATAGGAAAAAGACAGGAATTTAGTTTGTAGTACTGGAGGTTGATAGGCTTGATGGTAGTGAAGGGTTTAAGGCCTCTTATAAAGATCTGCTTGTCTGGGATGATTGGGAGGCTTTTCTACAAGCGAGGAGCAGAGAAGGAGACGTCATGGTCACCCACAGCACGTACTGTAGTTTGGTTCTAGGGAACCTGGAGTACATTAAATTGACCTGATCTTAAGGGCTGGGGTGAAGTTCAGAAAGAAGGTCAGTATCCAACAATAGCAGCACTGTGGACAGTGACAGAAAGTGAAGGAAAGTGATGTACTGCACATGTCAAGAGCCTTTGTATACTGTACTGTACGCAATAACACATTCATTACACAAAGTCTTGCCGTGAACACTAGTGTAGCAATGCATCTGCACCTCTAACAAAATACTTCAGATCTCTTCATATAAATTCAAAGTAAGCTGCTTTGAATAAGAGCCTCAGGCAAACACCCAACCCTCGACAAGTCTCTGTGTAGTGCGACACGTTTGCTCTCCGCTAATGAAACGTGGAACTACCATCTCGTGCACGAGAAACACGGATGGGCTTTTCTCACTCCAACACGCGGTCCCGGCGACACGGCAGGCTCACTTGTTCAGCAGCAGCTCGCTGGCGGTCAGCTCGTGGGTGAGCGAGGGCAGCAGGGCGTCGACGGCGTTGTCAGACTTGCTGTCGTCGGGCGTCATGGCCATGAGGTGCTTGTCATCGGGGCCCTCGCCGGAGCTGATGGACATCCTGTCGAAGCTGACGGCCTTGCTGTAGGAGGGCGGCACGTCCGCGTCCGCGTCGGTGGGGTAGGTGGCGGGCGCGTCTGTGTCGGGAGAGTAGAGCTGGACCTCGCACTCCGCGGGGTACAGGTGCTCCCCTGCGCCCTCCTCCCTCAGAGGGGGCTCCGCCCCCCCCGGCCATTCCGACTCCTCCCCCTGCGAGCGCTCCTCCTTCCCGCCCGCCTCGGAGGCAGGCTCCCCGGGGCCAGGCTCCCCGTCCCCAGCCTCCGCCCCCGGAGCCCCGTCCGAGTCCGCCCCCGGCCCCAGGGAGCCGGGCGGGGCCGCCTCCTCTTCCTGCTCGTCCTCCACCTCCTCGATGGTGTCGGTGGTGCCCTGGCGAGAGTACAGCATGGTGCACTGTGTTGGCTCGCTACAGGGAGAGCAAAGCAAATACATACGGCTCAGGGTTTACAGGCCGATCACTGGAAGAGCACAGAAGCAACTGGGCTACTCTTACCCCCCGGCAAGACCCTCCTAGGAGGGCTACCTCCCAGAAATATGAGCAACCCAAAGGTTTAAACAAACGTTCTCTCATTGAAATCAACCACTTGGTGTGATTAGGGTCTGGCGTTTTGAGCTGTTGTGTGTTTCTGCAGGACAGAAAAGTAAATCCTACAGTATGTGTCACAGCAGGTGGCAGTGTTTCATGATGAAAGGAGGCACCCAAGGAATATGGAGCCGGAGCTCATTAAAAGCGGTGGTCAAAGAGAGAATTTAAAGTTAAAAGAGCAACCACTTCAACATACAGCACTGTCACAAGATGTGTGTTCAGCAGCTTCTTTCTTTAGGTAAGCTCTCTGTCAGTACTCCAGTTGAATATTCAGTTTTTAAATTAGGAATCAGATTGTTACTCCACCAGTTCTTCTAGAAGCAAAGTTGAAATCAAATCATGTTTTAATGTTTTAGCTGATAACAATCACGAAATACAGTAATGTATTGGGGAGTCATGCACAAGGGATTACACAATTTTGATACTTTGATTACAAACATACTTGGCTGACCTTTTCCTGTATAAAATCCAACAATTTTTTTCATGCTGTTTGTTTTTGAACAGTTTTAGAACAAATGCAAAGAACTGGTTTTGGTACTTGATACATACTGTATGGTACTGCCCAGTTAGTTGGAACTAACCCTGGTGACAATTTCAATTACTCAACACCTTACAAATTCTTAAATCTTTTTCCCCCCCAAAAAAAGGATTTATCATGAGTAAGGTACAGTATTCTTCCCTTCAAGCAGGTTGCTACCATTTCCAAATTAAATGCTTTTCAAATCTTTACTTACAAATTTATTGCATGTATAGTTTAGAGATTGAGGTCTTTTGCATGTTGTTTTGGATCAAAAGGTAAGTGTGGAGATGTTCACATTTATCCTGCTCAGATCACTCTAGCAAGGGGATGGATGAATTAAAAGGACCTGAGCCTTTTAGACAGGAGTAATAGACTATGGTGGAAAAATGATTGGTGACTGAAGAGCAAGTTAACTTTGTTTATATCTATTGTTATGAGACTTTACATGGCAGAAGCATCAAAAACCCTAACCCATTGTTTCCCAGCTCCTTCATGCAAAGCAGACAGGGGATAAAAGCAGGAAGCAGCAGAGCACTTTTCCAGAGCTTTCAACACTCAACAGGGGTGGACACAGGAGGAGGAGAAATTTATGACATGTACACTAAAACAGTGCTTGACAAAAAAACACTGTGCTCTCTTTAATATTTGAGCACTTTCTCAGCAGACGAATACAGAGAGAAACAGACATGTTTCATCACTGTCTAATAATAACGATATTCCTCAGATCACCTCTTTTAAGCACTGATCTCTGAATTACAAAAGGGAATTCTGGTCAATCTAACAAAACAGCATTGCTACACTAACTGTAGAACATATGAAATAACATATCTCTGGTAAGAATGGCAAATTACTTTCCAGGACTTGGACGACTGTAAAACTTTTTCAGGTAAACTGAGACGCTGCTATAAATGTCAAACACCACAGTGGTGTTCAGCTGCTACAGTAGGCACAGCCTTTATAAACACGGTATATAATTAATATTACTAATTTCCTGAGTTTTAAAAGCATGCAATGCCAACAATTTAAAAAAAAAAGACTTCTACAGAGCAGCAAAATCCACTTGCCTTTTTGCTAGGTCTAAATATACCTACAACAGTATTGAAAAATATGCTTTGTCACACAGAGTCTCTTCTGCAGAGATTCACTTCAAACATTAAAGCAATAAGCTTTCAGAAGAGCATACTGTGAGGGGTGTGAACTGGCCCTGAACGCAGGCACCCATGTGACATGCATCGAATGCAAGCTGACTGGCACTGGAAGGGAAGTGTTTGCATCTAAGCAGGAAAAATAAGGAAAGAGGACGCAAGCAAATTACCAACCTGGACCATGCTTTAGATTAAGAGTGGTGTTTTCATTGAGATTTTCATCTACAACAGCTAATAGATGTTTATGAGCAAGCTAAAATGTTGTGTCATAAACAGTAGCATATAAATATTGCAAGACCCTGAACCGAAGGCTATGGTCAGGATTAGAGTTTTTTTATGCTAACATGCCATTACTCTACACCATATGTTCATTACTATCACATTTATGTCACTCTATTAATACTTGTGTGCATAAAGTGTTTATAAACGGCCTTTGCATTCCCTAATCTAAAGTATTTCCAGCTGATGTTGTGCAAATAAAGGATTAATAGACATCCAAGAAACCATCAATTTGCCCTCAACTGAGAGTCTGTAGAATTTCAATACAGCAATATGTGACAAACTAGTAAAGAGGTCAGGTCAAGGCTAAGGAAAGAATTGGAGAGAAAGCAAGAACTCAGAGATTTTCTATTAACATTCCACAGAACCTCAAAAGCTAATAAACTGAGCATTAACAGACTATCTATTAAACCTTTATTTATATAACAACTTTATGTATTACTAATATATACTGCATAACAAAGTTTTAGAATGCAAAGGTGTGGGTTAAGGTTCATCTTTACCTTTCAGCCGGGAATGAACCTTAGCCTGCTCGTTTCCAGCCTGTGCAAACGAGCCGCTGCGACTCTGCGACTTTGCCACATGATGCATCAGGTTAGCAAGCGCGGGAAAACATGAATCAAGCCGCTAGCAAACCCGAGGAATCGTCGCCCATTTTAGTCTGGAAAATTTTGCAAATGCTCTTTTTTGGTGATAAAGGGGGATAAAATGTGCAGTGAGGGATGAAAAAGGCATGCATGGGTCAAGCACCTCGAGACCACGCTGGCACTGTCTGCGGATGAAGAAGACATGTCCATGCTGTACATTTTGCGCAGCTTGGGTCGGGCGCGCTCACTCGTTTTGGGAATGCTCTCTGACGGTCCGTCTAAATCGTCTAAGGTAGACTGCCTTGAAAACAGCATGGTGGCCTCTGTATAGACGCTGGCAGCACAAATGGTTATACAACACAGTTTGGTTAATAATGAGCACCGTGACAAGATTACACACATCCACCTTTCTCCTGTTTCACACATGCACACAAAATGGCGCAAAACTCATCAGTTTTGCACAGTGTTCTGGTATTAGCTGAGTAATGGTTGAACCCCTGCCATTTGTAGCAGAAGCCAAGTTAGAATATAGAATGCTATATCCTTTCAAATATAAATGGGAGGTTTTCGAAAGTGACAGACTTTGAATATTAAGTCAAGGCTCCCAGTATTCTAAAACAATTCAACTAAACCATCCTTTGTGTAAAGAGCATTGGGACCTACTGAAATGGAAACAGCAGGATAACATTAAAACTATCTCGATCAAGACAGGCGATACACTTCTACTTAGATAATACTTCTAAGCTTGTTTTCAGCTGAAATAGAAAACCAGGATTGTTGAAATGTATAATGGTAATTGGAATACAAGCTTTATCTGGTGTCAAAATAGCCCCCGCTCCAAAGACAGCTTCCCATAATGCACTGCAAATACACGTCCATTTCCCATTCCATGGTCGTGTGGATGAAATGTCAAAGAAAATGTGAAGAGCAGCTGATATGCCTGTCATGCTGAAAAGCAGACTCCACTTTGCCCTTACGGTATTGTTGGTTTCTGGAACATTTTATTTTGTTGTACTCAAATACATCTAGACTGGTTAAGCTGTGCTAAATTACCCTTCCCGACATTAGTTTACTCTCTCAAACCATACCTTGACAAGGTGTCACGAGAGCCGACTGAATCTAAGCTGTCCATCCTGTGAGCGCCTCGTTTCCGCTCAGCTTTATGGGAGCTGGAGCCAGAGAGGTCCTCGTCAATCCTGTCCAGACTGGACTCTCTGGAAAAATTCATGCGCATCTGCTTCTGGTAATAAACATGTATACTCTCCCGAGACGGAACATTCCCCTGTTTGAGCAAACAAAAACCTGTCACTGCGCAGCTGAAGGGCACCTTTGTGTGCTTTGAAAAGCCATTATCACAAGCTCTTGCGATACCTCTTTGAGCGTTAACTTTCTCTGTTCAATGGAAAGGTATACAGAAATAAATATACAGCATATAGATACAATAATCAGTCCTTATACATTTCCACACCTTATTTTCAACATGTCCTCAAAAGCAACAACAGTTTTATAACAAGTGAAATTCAGCTGAAAGAAGATGCTACCGTAACCTAACACTGGTGTATTGATCAGCGTGATAGCAAATGAACAGAATCCACAGAAAACGTTAGGCTAAAGGACGCATATCTAGCATCCTACGAAGTTGAAATTGAGTGTTTTAGGAGGCTAGTGCACTTCAAAATACTTGCTATGATTCCCTTTTCCCTCGCCGGTCCAGTTACAGGTGCTATAATCAGTAACACAACAACATCCTGCAACTTTGAACATTTCCTGCAACTCCCGACTTGCCTGGATGAGTAGTACTACAGTACTACAACTGACCACAGAGAGGCAGCACTCTTCACATGTGAGGGCACAGGTGTAGAAGCACTAGCCTTTTCATTAACAGATGGATCAGAGACAGAAGATACAGTCAATCCAGATCAGTCACTTCTGATTCTCGTTCTGAAAGTCTTTTCCTTTCAAAATGACTAAAGTATTACTGTGGTCAGGATGACAAATTAACTACAGTGTAGAAGAGTACCCCTTTGTACTAAATTTTCATTCAATTCATTATTCCCCTGACTCACAAGCCATATGATGACAACCACGTACTTTAATTTCCAATGCATGATACTGCAAGAGGAACAAAGAGCACAACAGACATCGTGTACACCTGTGGAAATACTGTATTCCTCCAGAGGATTATCCAATAAGCTTCGTTACACATAGCATGTACCATCCAAACGAGTAAATTTGTCACGGAATGATTAGAAGACAATATCAGAAGACACACTAGAAGGAAATTTACTGCTGTGCAACACACAATTCCAGTCACCAATAATGGGCTTTAACAGATAAGATCACTTTACACCAGTGTAACAGGAATGTTCTGTTCAGTATCATCCTGAGACATTCAGTTTGGGTCCAGTCAAACAGTGATAGTGATGAGCATTGAAACACATTCAAGTAAAAAGTCATTGGAAAAGATTATTCTAGATAATTCTAGATAAGAGACTGCATTGTTCCAAAGCACCTTTATAATCTCGGCCAAACATGTACCTTTTTAATTTCTCTGGTGAGCATGCACCGTTCAATTCGGAGCACAGTGGAAATATCAATATGTTCTCTGCAGATAGAGTTCAGCCACGCAGTGAAACTATCCAGGAGGGCCAGGAAAAGGACCCATGTAAACTTCACAATATTAAAAATGCGCTTGATGATGTTATCTGTTGTGAAAAGAAACAGCTGTCACCAGAAGAGCAAATGACTGGCTGTAAAGAGTTCAATAGGTAAAGAGAAAATACACTGCACAGGACATTACATCACTAAAGTTAACTTCAGTATATAATACATCAGGTGTAATTTCATTCTTGAAAATCTTTGTTTACCACTGAACTTATTGGTCTGCTATGATGTTTTTAGAACTAAAGGAATAGAAGATGATCACATTAATCTCACAGGCGTAATATGTTTCTAACCTTGGCATAAATAAAGTGAAACCACTTTTTTAGCAACCAGCACAAATCATCATAATAAATAGGTGCCATGAGGTACTCCAGCAGTTTACAACTTTTAATTCAGAAAATACTAACACGGGTACATTACTAAAAGACAAAAGACATTATTAAAAAGGATTGAGAAGAGATAAATTCATTCATTGGTTTACAGTATGTATTTTTTCTAGTATCATACAAGATTCAACATATAAAGAAGTAATGTAGAAGCTTTGATATGGCTCTTACTCAATACCATATATCTGATTTGGCAGGAAAAATCTGGTTTGGGTTGAAGTTCTTTGTTACTGTGTGATGGGACTCAGCTCAGAAGAGCTCTGACAATTAATTGACATTTTTGAGAAGATCACAGTGATAATGAATTGTGGGCTTGGTGTCGTGTGAGATTCTCTTACAAGTTTTCTGATATGTTTACAATACTGTGCTGATATACAGTAAGCACAGCAAGTTCTAGACAGCACGGAATTCTTAAAACCATAACTTAGGAAACCTGACTGCTTTTATAGGGAGAAACACATTCTGAATCTCATGTGCCGTAAAGGCTAAGGAGATTCTGAGTAGTATTTTAAGACATTTGTATTATTTTTTTTACTTAATTAGTTAAAAGTACTAAGAGAAAATGCATCATTTGATCTGTAACGTGTTTTAGAACTTATTCAATAAAATTCAATAAATATTCAATGTATTATTCAAATGTATTGTTGTCAAACAATTTTGTACACCCCCAAAAATCAGAATTTAAGCTCAACAGTGTAAAATAAGTAACCATGACATGATAAAGACTTTGTGTCAAGTGCTCGTTCGGCAAGCTGCAAACTGTAGCTAGCCGAATCATAGCAAGCTGAAGCTCTGATCTCTGATCATTTGTGAAAAAGTTCAATCATACCTGGTCCTTCTGATTTCTTTCCTTCCTCCATACTTTCTGTTTCATCTTCCCTCTCTCCACATTCAATAGCAACTTGACCTTGTGAATCAATAATGGGAAAATGGCAGCACAAGACCAGGAATTAGAAACTGGCAACGCTCCCTCTTTCTGTACAACTGAGAACAATAGTGTGCAACACCACACCCACCAGACTTCATCTTATTCTTTGCTGCAAGATTAACAGCCAGGATGCTTTATAAAGGTTTGCTCCAAGGGCCTGCTTAGATTTAAATGTCAGAAATTAGTCAGACAACGAGAACTGAAAAACTTATATTCCCCTGTGAAACAATACTATTGTTTGATTAACTAGATTGCATCAAAACTTAAAAAAAAAACACTGAGCTGTATTTTGCATTGGAAAACAGGAAAGCAGCTCTGTGTTTTTGTTCATTTCCATTTCAAAACAGCTGTAGCGATTACACAATGTGACAAAGCGTAAAGCATCTCCAGGAAAGTGAGATACGGCTTACGTTGTCAATACGTGTTGTTCAAATTCCACCCATCCATTTTTAAACTGTGATATCCAATACTGGGTCACAGGGGAGCCGAAGCCTATCCCAGCAAAGAAGCAGGTGCCTGGCAGGACACACCCTGGACGGGACGCCAGCCCATCACAGGGCACACAGACACAGACATGACCACACTCTCACATCAGGGTCAGTTCTCCTAAGAAGCCAATTAATCCGCAGTCTTTGGACTGTGGGTGGAAACCCATGCAACCATGGGGAGAGCATGCAGACTGCATGCTTATTTGAACCCAGGGCCCCAGTGCTGTGAGGCAGCAACGCTCACCACCACAACACTCTGTGACCCTTGCTTAAACTCCTCCTCCCTCCGATGCCAAACGGACCTGTTGTGAAGAATGTACAGTGACACAATGCATTGAGCGAATTGTCTGCTATGACATGCATGTCCCCTGTTGCAGTTTACAGGACGCACAGGAGAGCCAAGCAGTGCCTGCCTCAGTGGACAAACCTCCTTTTTTGGAGGTATTATTGTGCACTTACTTGATCCAGGACCTACTACCCCTTTTCCACACATTGTGATATTCTAGGAACCTGCATCTTTTCTCATGACATCTCTTTAGTACCACTGGGTACAAATGAGACGAGGTTGTAGCAACGTGGAAGCCTTAATAATAAATAACTCTTAAAATGTTTGATGTTTGAGGTGAAACTGCTGTAAGAGAAACTGATGATCTCTGGTTGTGGAGAAGTAACAGACTGAAACTAGAAAGGAAACAGTGCACATACTCTACTGTAAATAGGAACATTGCACAGAGAGCGTGCACTGCCCTACATAAGAAGAAATGTCAGTCAGACAACTGACTGCCTCTATCAAAAATAAATGAAACTATAAAATGTTCTATGAAATTCACAGCTTTTTTTACCAACCTTCCTTGTCGCCTCGTCTCCATTTGCCTTTACTAGTGTACCTCTTCCAAAACTTCCGTTTGTCTTTATCTCGTTCCTTCAGGGCTGTTTTGGAATCTGTAATCCAGGCGTGGTACACAAACTGGAAGACAGTAACACATCTTAATCTGCAACTTGAGCTGCCCCAGAGTCACACAATCAAAAACAGACATACAATGGCATGCAAACCAGGAATGTACCTAACAAAGCATAACACAATCCCAATAAAGACACTGAACACACTCATCTAATGACACTAAGGGCCAGGACTCAGATGTCATTTGCACCATGCAGAAGCTTGTATATAAATAAGGAAATACTTCAAACTGGAAAAATACTTCAGAAAAATGTGCTGTAATTACTGCATATTGCAAATAGAGTAAGTATTGTGATGCAATAATATCACTTCTGTACGGTCCAGCTTTTCTTTGCATGCTATAAACAGATATGTCTTTACATCTGAAAAGCAAGTGCAAATACACCATCCACAGCTGTGAAGAAAATAAGAATTATTAAGCAACATGTCTAATCGTTAATGCTGGACCAGTGACTCATGATACTTTCCTGAAGGTGTAAAAAAATCATGACGAAGCTGGTTAAAAACCATAAAAGTGCAGGTTACATGAAATCATGTTAGAAACTGAAGACCAACTGAAGGCTCTCAGTTTGAGTGACTGGGTTAAAGACAATGCCAACGATGCTGCCCTTTTTGTTCAGATGGGATATTCTGTTCCACAGATGGTGATGAGCAGTTCAGGAAGATGCATGCACAGGAGACGCACAGAGAAGGATCTCTATTTACCCTTTACACTGCCAAAGTAAGCCATGTGCTCTATGACCTGACACCTGGTATTATTTACATACCATTGGCCTTGATTTCCTTTTCCCAGTTAGAGCCTGACATTCGACTCATTGGGAAAACTTCTTGGGAAAAAATGTAATTGCTTTTTTAAAATCGTGAAGTGTAGACATCTTTCTAAAATGTGAAAGTGTATATACAGTATGCTGCTCCACATCTGTTAGTAATGTTATAGTTGAGAACTAAACTAAAATCTTCAACTTTGTGACTACTGATGCTCTCTCATTCTTTACACTTGTTGTTCTTTCTGTGTACTTATAAAATCCTTTTGATAGCTAATTGACAAGAATCCAGAATCTGGTATGTTTCAAGTTTTAAAAAAAACGTTTTAACCTTAAAGTTTCAAACTTGACAAACTAATTAAATTTTGCTTTCAGAAAATTCAAAACAGAGACTGATCTGTAAAGCCGGTTGCAAATGAGGAAGCTTAATACTGTGGAGTCACAACATCTCAGGGAGATTAGCACTTTTCAAACTGGGCCAGATGAGATCTTGTACCATGCATCGACATTTTCAGGCATCTGGTTCACAGATGGACTTCTGAGCCTGGTGAGAGGTCCAGTATAGCAGAGGCACACTGAAGTTTCATACAATAAAAGTAGCTATTATTGACCTGAAGATCTATTCCTTCCACTTCATGAAAGAAGCCAGGGCATCAGTTTCAACAACACGGCTACAGTAGGTTGCTTGGTCCAGACTAACTTGTAGTGTAAAGACCCACGTTTTCCATCTTAAATTCCCTTTCCATTCGTTTCAAGTTCCTTCTTTTTGATTCATATTTCGCAGCTGATCCTGAAGAAGTGCATAGTTTTTACTTTGTCAGCACCTTCGAGGAGCCTGAATACCTCAATCATGACCCCCTTTCTTAGTCCTCTTATCTGTTCAAGACTAAAAAAATAAATTATTTCAGCCTGTCAGGGTAACTTATTCCTTTAGGTATTTAGATATACCCAGCAGCTGGAGGTTTTTGATTCAGTTAGCCATCCAGAGGAGCTCTTCCGTTTTAGTTGGATTGGCACAAAAGTCTTCTGTGTCTGAAGCACTCTGTGGCTCTGTCCCATGAGCAGATACAAACACACTGGAAGTACACTGGAAGTTTGCAAATCAAATTTTCAAAGTGTGTGGCACTTTCTTTGGAGAACATAAAAAAGGATTTCAATAGAGGGAGGCCATTCCACCAGTCTAATTCATTTTGTGTCACTGTGGTAAAATATTTTATAAACAACCTAGTATGAATGGCTGAGTATGAAATTACTGTTTTTTAAATGTTAGACATACTTATCTGTAGCAAAAGTTAAATATTATATATATTAAAGATTCCATCAATAAGTTCTGGAAAAATAACAAGACTCCAAACAGAACAAAGACTGAGTATTTTGCAACAGGGAAAACATTCTGTATTTAACGTCTTTGGAAATAAAAAATATGTCTAACTTACAGTAAATGAACAAGTATGAGAAAATGTTATTTTAATATGGTGCTTTGAAAAAATAAAAAAACTTTAGTTTAGCATAATCTGCAGTCAGTAGGTCACACACGTGGAATATATTCAGCAGTATAAAGGATAAATGTATGGGCCAACAAAACTATTAAATACAGAACATGCAAAAGCATGCAAATATAGCTTAGCAGGAAAATAGGACCTTTTGAATCTTTTAGTTGGAATACCTGACTTTTTAATCCACAAGAAATCGTAATGTCAACAACGGCCATGTCAAGGATGCCAACGTTTTGTATTACAGTACAAGTGCACTTTTGCTTGGTTGAGTTTATTTGCTCACTTCTTAAACTGTTGCTAGAAGAGGTATCAAATATTTCTTGCATCACAGTTTAAAACACATACAGTACATGTACTGTACTGCAATATAAGCTTTTCAGACACAAGGGCATCAACGTAACAAAGAGAGGGGGAAACGTGTCAAATACTGCATTTTCATTTCAAGCTCTGACATTAGTTTGTATTATTTTCAGGTAATTAGCGTAAGTCAATGGAAGATATTTTTCCATTAGTATTCTGTTGGAAGTATTCTGTTCTGTTGGAAGAAATGAAAATGCAGCACACCAATCCCCTTTGACATCTTAGGGGGTGGGAGCACTTCACACAGAGACAGTGAAAAAACAGACTCCAGGGAAATACCTTTGCTGCCCTGATTACATACTGAAGAATAGTTTTGGGCAGCTTAATGATAGACTTTGGCAAGGCCAAAATAGCAGAGGCAAACTTTCCAATTGCTCTCTATAGAGGGACAAAGTAAGGAGAGTTAGTAGAACACAGCAGGTTAGTTCAAAGGCACTGCCAAACATAACAGAATGGTCTTTGTCAAACTGAATAACTTTAAAACGTAGATGATGTTAAGATTTTAAGATCATAATTGGTTAGTACAGCGGTTCTCAACCTTTTGTCACCCACGGAGCACCTTAAATACTCCTTTACCGCCTGTGGACCACACAACAGCAGAAAGTATTGGTTCAGCTCTAGACGGGACAGAAAGGCGAGATCGAGTCGATGGGGGTTTTATTTTGTTTTAGTGGTAACATTTTTGCCCTCGGCAGTAGTCCCTAAGGGCAGTGATTTGCAATATGTGCCGTCTCATCCAGCTGCAATGAAAACAAGCCACTTGCTCGACCCTATTTATCAAGTGATTTTCTGCTTTCGCCGGGAAGTAGTAGAAAAAGGTCCAAGTCATTTACTTTCTCAATAACCGTTATCCTCATGATATCTTTCGCTGCAGGAGGCACCAAATCATCACCAATTTTATGGATTTTACTTTTTTGTTTTTATTTTTAATTGTGTGATCCAGCTTAGGAAATATTTGTATATTTCTCTATTGTTTCTATTTATGTTTCTCTATTTTTTTTTTAATCACCATGATTATCAAAGTCATGTGTTTTGTTTCTCAATGGCAACGCGAATTTGCAAGTTTTAAGTTTTGGGTTGCCAAAACATAGTAGCAAGAAACACATTGGGATTTACTGTAGCTTCACTTAAGCCTTAATTTTATGTATTCGTCGTCATACTTCCTGACTATCTGCCTTTTCTTCCCCGTCTTTGTTCTTTCAGAACTACTAGTAGGTTTTTTCATTTCAACATCGCCGACTTGTTCAGTAAAATCCACTTGAAAATCGGCATCGTTTTTTTCGGTTCTAATATCAGGTTTAAAACCACTTATCCATATTGATCAATATCGGAGTTAAGTTTAAATGACAATTTTAAACTGGTTCTTACACACTGCGCTTATTATGAGACCATAAAAATTACTCCACAGTTAAACAACTAGACATTCAGTTGCGTCGCGTAACTAGATTCAGTGCCAAGGATCGAGACATGTGGGAGTAGTAGGCACCTTATTTGCTAATTTGCCAACAACGTGGCATTTAGACGAAATTTCCTGAAAATAAGTCATCCACAGACTGCAGCTAAATTATCAGTTTATTATAAACTATTTTAAGTGAATATTTTTGCGTACAACGTAGCCCGAATTTACATATATCCTTTTTTTTCATTACATCACTAATATTTATATCCCCGCGGACCACAGGTTGAGAAACACTGGATTAGTACAGTATGTTGAGTCTCACACGCGTCTGCTAACACAGCAGCATCATTAGCTGATAGCAGCATTTTGTGGAATTTACAGTATATTGCTATGTGTATGTAAAAGCTTCAACCTAAAATATAAAAGAATGAATTGTGTCATAGAAATAGACTGCACACCTCTTAAATGTAAGCAATGTTCAAAGAATATATATTATATGGTGTGTAGATTATTATTTAAAGATTAACCTGTCTAGGATTTATCTTGGAACTGTCTATTTCCAAGCTCAATTAATAAAATGGCAATTGTAGCGGATAAATAGAAAGGTTTTAACATTTTTTTTAATCCCACATACAGTATAAAACAATTATCGCATTCTTACAAAATCAAGTTTGGTGGGTGTATTTAAGTAATCTTTGTTAATGCAGGTGAAAACTGTCAAGTACTGTAAATGAAGAGCTGTAAAGATTTGGCAACTAAACACAAGACATTTGAGACACGCACCCAACGCGTCGCTCTTGAGCGCTCCCTGCAGGAGGGGGTGTGAATCTACACGGGCCGCGGAACCCACCTGGAAAGCTGACTTCTTGTGTGGCTCCTCTTCTTTTTTGTCTTCCTCTTCCTCCTCTTCACTGTCTGTCTCAAATAAGTAATAGTCCCCGCTGCGCACCACTGAGTGACACAAGGTTGAACAGTGAAAACGAAGGCAGTGCTGTTGTGCACACAGCATTAGGCAAGCTCAGACCACAGGGATTATTTCATTTAGAATTGCACTGTAAAGAAGCAAACACCTTCATCCAGTGAGGTTTTCCAGCTGTGACAAGGCACTGAAAGGGTCGATACAAGGCGACGCACTTCAAGTTCAGTAGTAAATATTGGGTATATAGGATGATAATTAATCAAGGGCTTTTATTAATTCTCTCAATGTAGCATGCATAACGTCTGACATTTTCTTATCTAAAAACAAAACTGCCGAAGTAGGAGTGACGATCAGTTATGGCCAATCTCCACTAGGTTATACACTGTCTGATAGATATTTTGTTTCTGTTCCACCTTCCTTCTCTTTTTTTATGCCTCAGGCCGTGAAAGGCGTTAGCCAAAACGATTCTCAACTACGCTTTCATTTCATTCTCCATTTTTCGACATCAAGGGAAAGGAAAGTGCGTAAGCAAGATCACAGTCACGTTTCAGAAAACAATCCTTGAAAGCAAAGCAAGATGGAGACAGGTAAAAATGCAAGGAAGTTGTAAAAGCCAGGGTTGAAAACAGAAATATGAAGTATTGTTTCAAAGCAGAGATTGTTGTAATGGGTAATTTAGGAAGTGAGACAAGTTTGGCATAACAGATGATAGTGGTAGACAGGTCAATACAACTTGTTTGGTTAGTGTTAGTGTTTTTTTTCCCTCGTTGTTCACGGTCTCTGAATCTCTAAGCCAGTGTTCTGTCCACACTACAGAGACAGACCAAGCCTTTCATTAAATCACATTGCATTTCAGGTTTTAATGATCACACCGTATAATAGCCTTATATCCTTGAACAGAAGAAGACAGTGGGATGTTGAAGTGTAACAGAGGTCCATAAAAAGAAGAAAATTAAGTAAAAACCAAAGAAATCACAATGGGAATGTTAGAAATCCTTAATGCACATCTTAAAATGATGGTCTATGTTCTAAGACAACTGGAATATAGACAGAAGCCTAAGAGGAACTGGCTGGCACTCCATTCAGGTTATAGAAGGATGTACAGCAGACCAGTGGTGCAGAAAAAGCTTTTCATAACCAACTGAATTATTTGTTTTGGATGCATTAAGCCTGCAATTCAAACGGATTAACTTAAACATCTAGGAAGCACGTAGTTTAAGTTGAGGGATTTGAATGTGGATAAAAATGTTCAGTAGGATCTAATCAGTATGATATGGACAATATACTGAACATGAAACATGAAACATTCACCCTGTTCCACTTAGGTTTCTGCTATTGCAACATGTCCTTGACTAAATCAGAGACATATTCCACTTCCACTTTTCCTCCTCCTTGAGATTTTTTCACATGTACAGTAGCATCTTTGGTTTGTGTCTCTGTCTTTTCAGACTCACTATATTCATCGTAAAAAAAAATCAGGAAAGGAGTCTGTCTCTGTTTAACCAAGTATAATGGAATCTACCACATACGGTAAGAGTGATTCTTTACTGCTGGCTCTACAGTTTTCATAAAACGGTTTGGCATTTTTTACAGGCTTTTGTAATTAATAACATTTTGCTTTGATTTGTAATTGAGATCAAAAAACAAAATGTCGGATACCGGCATTATAACTTTTTTCTTTTCCCTGGCCAGTATCCTTTGCAAAGCCATCCTATTTAAGGTTACCTTTTTTATTAGATTTTGATCAATTATTTCTCGAAGCAAAGCCCAGCAGCCAGTGCGTCACTGTGTGCTTTCAATGAGCTCGGGGAAGCTGCGTTGTGTTTGGCTCAATTCCTTAAATAGGCATTGAAAACAAATAATGCCTGTCTGGTTCCTGGGGTTCTGTAGAACCAGGGCCATGAGGACACACACATGAGCAGCGCAGTAAGAGAATCCTCAGGGTTCTAGTCAAGGATATAAGGTTTCACTTCAAGAGAGCCAACAGAGGACTGGAGCAAACCTACTGGAAGCGTGATCAACCCAAGGGCGCCACCACTGCCTTTTTAAGCCCTTGGCCTTTTCCTTGTCTGCTTCTCCTAAAATAAAATTTTAACACATTAATGTAAAGGAAAACCAAAAAGCTCTTTACAGTAGTAAAGCAGATAATAAAATAAAAGACAGCTTAACTGACACAACACAACAGCTTAACAGCTTCTTCCTGCGGGCTGTCAGGTTCCTCTACGCCCTGGAATCTTCTTGCACCCACTCCAGTTCCAGAAACAGGGTTTAAATCCCCCCAGTGTGTTGTTTATATTGTACTATGTATTTGCCTTGTAATTTGCAGTATCTGCACTTTGCACTATGTGTATCCTGTCTACAATGTCAATGTCAGTGTCCTGTCTGTCCTGCCTGTATTTGCACCGTGGACGAGGAGGAACGATATTTCGTTCCACTGTACACTTGTATATGGCTGGAATGACAAATAAACGTGAACTTGAAGTTGAACAAGCTCTCAGGCACGTATTCAAAGATCCACGTGCGAAAAGAGGGGTAAACGCCAACTGAATGATGTCCGTCGACATGATGCGCTTTAAACTACTCCAATACTAAACCACTTGATTGATGGCGCGAGTTGAGCGACTGTCACTTCCAATACTTCTAGTTTCTAGAACAGCCACCAGATAGAGTCCGATTATTGATCTGGAGCACCCAGAGTCGATCGTATGCATGTTGTTCCAGCTCGTTTTTCGTTAGTCACTAGTGTTTCCCTCCTTCAAAGGCCCTAAAAATATCATAGGCCCTAGGCGCTGTGCCTGCAGGGCCTCATGGGAAATCCACTGCCCCCCCCCCACACCCCTCTGCTGCCCAGCCGACTCCAGTGGACCGATGTGGCGGGTGCAGAGTGTTCACTGCCACTCCCTAGACAGAGGCGGACTCTGTCTAAAGACGGGCTCTCTGGCCTGGGAAGACTTCTTCACCATCTAGGTTCCAAGGGGGAGTCATCACCTTCTGTAACACACATTTATTTGCCCACTGGGCACTGTTGCACCAGCTTATAATGAGATCTCTCAGACATCTGTCTGAGAACTCCAGCTGATGTCCATTTTCGTCCAAGCGATTGATGGATTGACTTGGAGATAATTGGATTCTTGTTGTGGATTAAGTATTGATGCTGCTGGAGAATCCCAGGGAAAATCGTCTTGACACCTCTAGTTATTTATTTGTGTTGGTCCAACTATGTTCAAGCAGACAGAACCCTACACAAAATGCACCACTAACGTTTTACAGACTGTGAAACTGACACTGTGTTCTGGTCCAAGGACTTTGTTAAAGAGGAGCTGTTTTTATGTGAATAAGATCAACCTTCACTTCAGGTGATTCTACGACGTTCTATGTCCTACCCTGGAGGCCTCCATTTCAATTGAACTCAAGACGGTTCTTCAGATATAAAAGCAAGAATCTGAATTTAGAGAAGATTTAGGCTCGTAAACATTCTGCAATTTTCACATTAAACTACAATTTACAAACTAATGTAAGCATATAACAAATTATCGTAATGTTATTGACAATACAATGTTGTTTACAATTTGCAGAGTAATCACATTTTACAGATTTACAAGAAATTTAATGGTAGCAGTAGATTTCTGTAAAAGTACAGAGCCCATGTTTTGGAACATTGGGAATTAATCGGAAGATTAATCTGTAATGCCTTCACCCTAAGAGTTACTAGTACTGCATGTTTCAGCTGACAAGGCGTACAAAAGCCTGGTATAAAATATAACATTAAATCTGGCTAACGGTGAAATGTCTTGGGGTCGCAAGACTTGAAGGAAGTTCTAAAAACCAAAACCCATGTGGAGCAGAAGGCTACCCGAACCATTTCAAACAAGAGGTCAAATGCAGCCTAAGGGATTTCTCAGTTCTTGATTGAAATGTACCAGTAAATGAACATTCCTGCTTTTCCAAAAGGGAAGGCCAGTAAGGAAGCAAGTTAGTCCCTTCTGAGTGAATACGGCCTACTGTTTACACTTCTAGACACCCTCAATGCCAAGCAATCAGCTCTGAGCTACAAAGGACGTACCATCATCTTCCTCCTCTTCTTTCATCATGTTCTGTCCCTCCCCAGACTGCTGTGCCAGACTCAGCATCCTCTCCTTACCCTTCTTAAACTTCTGCTGACGGGTTTTAATGCGATCCATTCTGGTATTAGTAAACAAAGAGAAAGGTATGTGGAAATATGCTCATTCTGTTACCACCCTTCGCATGTTCCATGCTTTGACATGAGGAGGTGTTTTTATCACTACCAGTATGACAAAACTGAAAACATGCAGTTCATCTTGTTCCAGCAATCAAAAATGTGCACTGTTTAAAGGGGAACTGCTATGCTATTTTTATATTGCAGGGTTTGAAAGAATGGGCGCAGATGAGTGCATTTCAAACCACATTGAAAGTAAAATGCACTTCCTAAAACCTCCCATTTATGGTACATCACAGACGCAGCGCTATGTTCTGTGATTCAGAACGAGGCAACAAAACTCCCGGTGACGCGTTGCAGCCTTATGTTACTCACAGACTTGTGAATACTCACAAGTACTAGTGAGCAGGAAGGGCCGCATCACTTTGCAAGTTGTGGGAACTCTTGGTCTTGCCCAAGGCAAGACCAGCGGTTCACAACAAAATTTAGACTATACAGTACTTTCACAATGTTCACGATTTATGCTTAATTCAGAATTTGCCAAATTTTGCTATCCTGTCACATACAGTAATTTATTTTGTTACTGAGATTTAATAACCGGTCTGAGAAATTGGGAGTGCAGTTCCCAGTTGAGCAGAAAATGTAACATCCTATGTCCTATTTTAATGTTTGCCTTCCAGCATAATCTCGTTTGGGTAGTTTTCATTAAAACTGAAATTTTTCCAGTGTTTATGTTTTTACAGGCTCTTAAACTTCAGTGTTCTTGAAAACAGCAGAACTGTAGCACTGAAAAACTGAGAAAAAGCATATTAAAAACTAGGAACAAGGAAGGGTTTAGTTCATCCTGAAAAGAAAAGACACAACATTTCAGCTGTGGAGCCTTCTTGTGTAGCCACCTATGTATATTAAAAACTAGTTACATTTCTTCATTTTCAGAATCTGGTTTGGCCTTACTGTCTCTTGAGTTGGTCCATAGATTTTTTCTCCTCTTCAATCCTTGCTCTGACAGCTTTTATAATTGTGGCTTGAAAAAGTTCTGCCCCTCTGTAAGAGATAGCAGTTTGTTATAAAAAACACAAAATAATTCATTCTTGGTCAAATAATGCTGCAAACAAGTTTATAATTTCTATTGGACTTTTAAAAACTATATAAGCATATTACACATTGAATGTGAAATATAAATGAATATTATTAATGAATAATTTGGGAATTCAATTATGCATTTTCTTAGTTTTTTTTTCTTCTTTTCAGTATTATTTGCATTGACCTTGTTGAATGGGAATACAGCTTTAGTATTTAGCAACAGTTCAGGTGAGGACATTGATTCTTTACAATCACAATTCATCCATTTCATTTTGCTCTTTGTCAGTAATCATTAAAGACAAAAACATGTACTTGGATTAGATCAAAAAAATCTGAAGTACCTTGAGGCTAAGATCTGGGAAGACCTTATGTCTGCAACTACGTGTAAGAAGTAGTAACTCATGAAGACCCTTCTCTGAAGCAACAGAAAGGCAAAGCATATGCTGTCCCAAATGATCCCTGCTTCATCGCTGGGTAAAGCACATTTTCCACTTGAATCAGCTGTGACAAAAAGAAATAGTTAACCTAGAGGTAAATTAGAGGGCACCTTTGAAAACCTTCTAATGGACGTGAATCACAATTTTCTTCTGATCGCAAAGTTATTAATTAAAGTCCACCAATATTTAAAAACTTTAAACAGAACTACTGTATATTCTTTTCAGGAAACAATGATCGCATGCTGTCTCAACAGAGGTTCGGTTTAACAAACCCGTTTGTCTGTGATCATTTCCAAATGTTACGAATAAGAGGCACCACTTGGCCCATCCAAATGTCACTGTGATGAGGCTGGCTTGCTGTCAGACAGATTGCTGAAATTTCTGAGTCCTTCCTCTAAGGCATAGTGTCATCACAGCCTCATCACAATCATGAAGACACGGAGCAAAATACATTCAAACAGATACTTGTGTTACAGTCCTAAAGCTGTCCTTACAAATATGAGAGTTTAAACAAGTAGGGCAGAGCGTACAAGACAAATGCTTTACTTTAGATACTAATCTACTGTAAGAGACAGCATACAATAGATGCCACTACAGTTCATTCAAACATATGAGCACTATATGACAATAATCAACTGAAATTTACTTACGACGTGAATAGTCTTTTATTGTGCAGGCCAGACTGAATAACTGGATTAACCAGCAATTGTTTTCAACCAAGGCATTGATGTACCCGCAGGCCACTATCTGAGAAATAAGCAGAGACAAAACTTCCCCAGATTGAAAATAAAATCATCATTGACTAAACCCGATTTTAATATTTTATGACACAGAAAGAGCACAAAAATGATTAAATGACTTAATGGTTAAAATAATCAATTCCCCTGTAATTGGGTGATGTACTGTCGAGGTGAAATTCCACAGAGAAAATTTATCTGTTGAGCCTTTGTTAGGTTTGAGCGCTCATTAGCTGAAACATTGCAGTTTTAATTTCTTTCTACTTTTCAGCATGGAATTGGCCTGCTCTTTTTCAGGCTGCACGCTGAAGCTGCACTCCGCTCAAAACTAATTAGACGATTTGCATGCTGCCTTTTCTTCACTGCTATATTTTATGTTATTTAGACTAAATAAATGTTATTTAGTTGTGTTGTATCAGTTCAAGGAAAGGAGTGTTTTGGTGTACATTCACAGTAAACATCAATGTCAAATTCAATATATAATATATACTGTATATATTACATTTGCTGAAAGTTCAAGATAACGGTACTGTTTACTGTATATTTAAAAGCGGTGCCTCTCAATCTTAAGAAATATACTTTATAATTCTGAATACTCCTGATTTCAAGAATGAAACTCTTGTCTCGATTAACAGACTCCGTGCCGTCGCGTACTTTCAATTGCACTGAGCAGTGCTCTCCAGAGAGTGCTTCTGGCCGTTGTGCTGGGGTACTTACAGACAACACATTCTTCATGGTTATCACAAACACGTTGTAGGCAATGAGGAAGTCCCAGTAGTGGAGGATGCTCTTAATTGGCTTCAGCAAGAGATCGCCACCAAAGAGCAGGAAATAGAAGCAGGCGACCAGGTAGCCCATGCAAAATATGCTGATTCGAGTCGTGCCGGTGATGAAGATGATGGTGAGCACAAACCAGAAGAGATAGCTGAACATTATCACCTTCAGCATGTCCAGGTAAGACCTAGAAATCAAGAAACCCCAAGGCAAGGTCAGCTCCTCTGATAGAGACGGTGCTGTCAGCCATATGTTTAACTACTTTCAAACATTTAACAGCAGTTGTCCTTCAGGGAAATACAATACTGTATATATGATTGTATATATGTTTTTTTATGGTGGCTTATATCACTCAGAAATTGAATCCTTGGCTCAAGGCTTTCAAGAAGAAAGATCCATCAGGAATAAAGAGGGATCATTTACAGTTAGAGCGCACTAAGGACTTTAATCTTTAAGCTTCATCTTTAAGCTCTGTCTTACTGAAAGAATATAATCTATTATTTTTATTGGCTTTTAAAAAAATAGGAGATACCGCATCGGTAGAGTACATTGTTAGAATGGTTTGATGAAATGGAAATGTCTAGGCTTGGCCTTGTGTTGATGGGGTGAAATTGATGGGTGTCACTGCTGTTTAAGCTCACTCGTGTCAGCAGAGCCTCTCTCAATATTTAAAAGCTATTTATTGAATTATCTGAAATAAAATAGTGCACCAGCTGGAAGATATGAGTGTACAATGGATGAGATGATTGTGAAATATAGATCTTTTTTTCTATATATATATGCAGTATATGTAATTGGATATAAAACAAATGACCAAACAAGTGCAGCTGTAGGTCTCAAAAAATGCACTTCTGAAATGCTTGTGATGGATTGCATAATAAATCCCTTCCCACTCCACATATCGAAACACGTAATGTGTAAATACTCAATTATGGAGACCAGCAGGTGATGAGATTTCCCTCTGCCTTAATGCAGTGGTGACCAGAGAAGATCTGATACAGCTTACATTTAAAATTATTTACCTAAGGAAGCACTTAGAGAAGAAAATGGAGTTCAGACAGAAAGCTAATATTAACATGTTTTTCTCGCTAATCCACATGGAATAAAATCTGGAAACTATGGAGAAGCGGCAAACAAATATAAAGCCACTCAAGTTCTAATTTAGATTAAAATCCATAAAATGCAAGTAAATATATATGGATCACGCAGACGCTTATAAATAAGCACATTAATGAGAAAACCAGCAAAACACGTCATGCTTATTTGAATTAAGAGCTCGTTAACAGTTGAAGATTTTTGTTCCAAGCTTCACCGATAATTCTGACCACCGTTTTATACATAATATACACAGTAAAATGGCACAGATGTCACATAAAACGCAGAAAGCATTTCTTCAGAGCACTGTCCATAGTCTATTCTCACATCTCTCCACAGATTTTGTCCCTGTCCTAATGCCTTACGGAAATTGCCTCAGATTCATTTTTCTGCAGTTTTCGGGGAAAGGGAGAAATCCGAATTTTCAAACTAACGTCATTTCTAAAAGTCACGTCAAGAAGACCTTCCAACCCGCCCTCTTCTGTTGTCAGTGATGCCGGACGCTTGGAGGGAGAACGGGCAATGTCTACCGTCAGCGAGGCTTAGAGAGCCGCAGGGGCGGGGGGGAAGGGGCCATCTTGCTTCACCTGCAGTGAATGAAGTCGGGGACGGGGTTGTGCTGGCTGAAAGAGGCAGCGTCCAGGTCCCTGCAGATCTCGACGTTATCCCCAGCCATGATGCGGACTGCGGCCCTGTTCTCGTCCTCGAAGACGTGTCTTTGCAAGGAGGCACAGAGCAGCAGCATGAAGTCGTCTGGGGAACATCGAAATAGGGAGCAATCATTTTGAACCCTTTCAAGAACACTGGATGTTTAAGAAATAGTTCAGGAATGCTTGCTATTATTTATTTATTTAAGGTTGCTAAATAAAACCATAAATAATACCACAATTTGAGCAGAGAAGAATGGTGGGGGGAACTGCTTCAAGCATTGTATTTAAGAACCACAAAGGTGTTATGGGATTTTGACCCAGTGGACTCCACAACGAAACACACACACCAGAAGGCACAAATGGGGACACAGTGGAAGTGCTTTTCAGTGTGAGGAAAAGCAGGCACTTCTCCACACGAGCACTTGTGGAAGTACGGAACCAGCTACCCGCCATGTTGCTGGAACCCACACCCCGGCTGTGTTTAAGAAAGAACATTGTTTTAACAAAGAATGTTGTTTTTCTATCGCGCTACACGATATTGTACTGTAAATTAGGTCTTAGTTTTCTCAAAAATTCCTTTGTGCTGTAGCTTCCAAGTTGTTGATAATCTCTTGTTTCGCTTTCATGAACAAATTTTAAGTTTCAGAACTATACCAGAATCTAGATCACTGACATAAATTAGAAAGTGCAGTGTTCCTAAAGTAAATCCCCATTGTAACATTATTTACAGTACAGTACATCAGCCCAATCGGAGATTTTACCCTTCTCATTTTTATTATTCACAGGTTAATAATTTTCTATCCTTCCGATGGTTAGGAATCTAAAACAGACATTGCCTTGAGCGCCTACTCTCTGCAGTTTGAGTATGAATCCTTTTTTATGAGGATGTTTATCAAAAGCCTTTATCAAAAATATCAAGATGTCACACTTGCTCGGTGTGTGTTCTTTACTGTTGTTGCTGGTTCAAAAGTCTCTAAGAAGTTCGTTGACTAAAGTGTACTGCTTCAACGTACAATAAACCCAAGTATTCTATTTCCACACAGACAGTTCTCTGGTTCTATATACCATTTACATTACATAAGACTGTAGATGTGAAACAGATCAGTTTACAATAAGACTTATTGCTGTACAATCGCTCTTAAATGCATAACTTATGAGTTAGTACCAAGGCACTTTCACAAGGAAGTTTTTTCTACAGGCATTCTCCATACTTACAGACAAGAAAAAGCGGATTTGGTTGTGTATGGAAATCGGGGATGTAAAGCCATTTTATGACATTGGAGCCCGTAGTGGAGCTTGGAAATCTCCAGGGATAATCTGAGAAAGAATAAAAAGGAGGTTCAGTGCACATACAGAAGCTGATGTCCTGTACATTCACACATGCAGCTTGTACTATATATGGGTACCAATCAGCCAAACACTGTGTGGGTGTGTTCTGGGCATTTCTTAACTGAGGCCATTGTCCCAGACAGGGGTAGGACCACTGAGCTCTTGCAGTCCATGCCATTCAATTCCACTTTCATTAATTGATCAAGGTGATCAAGATCAAGGAACCAAGACTTGATAGAGAAGGAAAGGATTGATTATGACGAGTTTATGTACAGTACTGTAGGTTGCATAGATTGATGCTAAATCAATAACTCTTCAACTCTTGTTGACGTGAAATGTTTGTGGGAAAGTGGATAAGCAGGACCGTCAGGATGTGACGTGACGTGACGTGACGTGACATGACATGACCACACGGTACCTTTGCAGGCTGCTGGAGGAATGCCAATGCAGAGGAAGTACTGGAATGTCAGCATGCAAGCCAGAAAGTAGCAGTACTTGGGCCAGATTTCTGCTATGGCTTTTCTCCGGCGTCGGTACATAACAGCGATTAAACAGAACGCATGGAGCATCGCATAGAAGTCCATTCGTTGCCCAATCACATTGATTGCCATGAGGAAGCACGTCTTAAATAAAACCAGAGAGAAAGTACATTGATTCAGTAACTCTTCCTCAATTGCGGTCTGAGGTTTTTATCTTTGGGCTCAACGGTGAAGGACGACACATGCCAAGCTCATCAAAAGTCAGTTAAATAATATTCATTTTCCTAGCTGTGCCCAGCTGATACTGTTGCACAAACAAATACAGACGGGACTCAAGGCTGTATCACCAAAAGATTAAAATAGTGATGTTATTCTGCAGAGAGAAGTTCAATCAAACTGGTCAAATATTTTTCTCTTTTTCCAAGACTGGTGCTGATTGAAAATAAAGGAAAAGAGGGAATTCGAGAGAGAAGTTGGTTTGGTTTCAGAATTGTATGTTGTAACTTCATATTTAAATAGATGTTAAGGGGGTAACTAAAAAAATAACAATATTGGAGCTCTTTCACTAGTAATTATGTTACAATTAGCGACTTAGCTATGACTAAGAAAACATTAGTAGTTTTAAATTAGCCCTGAAGACAAGACAAGGAACATTAGTATTAGTGTGCAAACCATTGACATCAAGTATTATACATTACATTAGAGCAGAAAGGCAAACACTACAATTTTGTGTAATATTCTACCACCATTATAGAGATGACATGTTAATAGAGTGTTTACAATCAGTTATAAGAAAAAGGCTTTCTAAAAGATTTGTTAGTATTTTTAATATACTGAGATCTATTCATGACTAGCACCAAAGAGATTATCTATTTTTAGTGTGAGTTGTTACTGCTACACAGATTTAGTATTAAACTGAGATTTTCCTGATCACAAAAACCCATAAAAAGGTGGATGACTTACCTCCAAACCAAATTTGTAGAAGAAGTAGTTAATGAAATATTTAGCACAGTTTAAAATTCCATCATCCAAGTGTTGTCTTGTAATATCATGAAAGATAGTCTTAGTGACTGGAGCTGTAAGATTGTTTCTTAATCTATAGTATTCCTGGTGACGATAAATTGTCACTTCAAAAGCCAAGATTGCCAGCATCAAGAGGTTGTTCTAGATACAGTAAAAATGCAGTGTGAGAGACAATATAATCTAATTAATGCACTTGTTAATACCTGAAACTCAAATCATGTTAATCAATACAAAAATCAGCTACACTACAACCATTACAGAAATTGGCAATGGTGTGGTTTAAGATTCAAGCTGTACAATTATAACAGAATTGTGTTCATGCAATATTTTCTGATAGGCAGTGCATTTTGAAAGCAGCCATTATATACAGTTCACCAAATGCAATAGTAGTTTTTTCTGACCCGATTCTTTTCCATTGTTTTACCCTTGTGCATTTTCACAGTTAGCTAAAAAGCACTTCACGTACCCTGAGGTACCCCAGAAGAGGATCAGACTTCTTCAGACCAACCCAGTTTGTTGGATCAATAGAACCGTTGTAAAGAAGTGATGTACTCATTTCCTTTTTCTGTTCATCGGTATAATTCACCGGCTGAAAAAACAGAATATTCATAATGACTTGGGTAACTATTCTAAAAATGACTGAAATCCAGTTATGATAAAATAGACATTTAATTGAGCTACAGACACATCCTACTGCTGGGGTAGGCTTCGTCTCCCCTCACGACTCTGTATTGGATAAAGTGGTTATAAAATGGATGGGTGGATAGACTCAAATCTCGCAGGCAGCTTGAAACAAAAAACTACATCAGTCCCCTCCATATTTCCAGGGCCAGATATCTGTTACTGTAATGATGATCCTTCAATAAAATAAAATCTTCCAATAACTTTTTTTTTCTGTTGTTGCTCCTTGTCTCTATAGCCTGTATCATTTAACAATGTAATACTCACAAAACACACGGTTCAGTGACTAACTTCTATAATTGTGATTATTATACTTGTAAACTGAATAAATGTATAGCAATGACGTTCTTTGAACCTGAAACTGAACCATAATGTTCAAGCTCTGTAGTGATATGGATCACAAAATATATGCTTAGAATCTACATCATCTGTATCAAAATTAAAACTTTTAATTTTAATAACTAAATGCAAACTATATTATTTATTTATATTAATATTTATGATACATTCAAAATACATTCTCTAAAATCTATTAAACGTGTTGTAGACACTCTTTGCTGTTATTCAGAATACGTACCATTGAACAATTTTTAGAGTAGGTAGGAGGTTGAATAGATCCCAGCTGGTACAACATTTTGCAGACAATTATCACACAGGTCCACACAGTACAGATACTTGAAGCCAAGGGCCGAAACTGACTATATGGAAGAGCAAAAGCCCAGCATATTAAGAAGGCGTAATTGAACAAGGAAACCTGAAACACAATGGAATAATAATGACGAAAATGTTACACAGAATGTTTGCGTGAAGTGATTTTAAACTACATGTGCAAAAACCATAAGTAAAACCATCAGGCAGGACATACAGTACTGTACAGTGAGAGGGTCACCGGGCAGTGACACAAAAACATATCTGATGGTTTTCTTACCACAGAGCACACAATGCTGTGGCCCTCATGATAAATACATGTTTACCTTTAAACATTACTTTTAAATGCATATGGTGTAAATGAGCATGAAACTCCCAAAAGTGATTCTACTTCATTTGTGAGAGCCTCATGTTCTCAACGTATTTAGCAAAAATATATAGTTAAAAATAAAAATGCAAAGATGGTCTTTTGCAGGAAAACATGCAATAAACCGTCATCATTTATTACATTAACAATCTGAGTTAAACATCAAGACTAAGAGCACACTTTAGCATGTGGAAAAAGACTGTCAGAGCTGTTTCTCAATTGGTGACAAGTCTGCAGAAGTGTACACATTTTGTGGAATTTCATCCTGTGCAAAGATGTCATGAGGCTTGTGTATTGTCCACATCCCAGCCCAATGAAAACACCGCCTTGTTGACTCGACTCGTTCATCTGCAGGATGCCATGACTGACCGATGTGGAAAGCTACATGACATTCAGGACGATGAATGCTGGCCTGTTGCAGAAGTTGGCTGCACTCTGTTTTCATTTCCACCCAGCAACCTTATCTTGCCTGTGGGCCTGAGTTAGACACTCAATTGGTAATGTTAGTGATCACCTGCTGCCCTGTGTATCAGCAGAGTGAGAGAGGGCTAGAAGATTAGGCTTCAAATCCTTAGCAAGCGGTTTCACGAGGCTGGAGCTGTAACCAAATGCCATTGGTGGGATTCAAACCAGGCCAGTTAATGACAGGATAGCCCAAAAACGCCATGGCCGAATCCTTACTGCTTAACAGTGACCAACGCGGACCAAATAGATACAAATAATTTGTTCCAACTAATGTTGGTCATAAGCCTGCAGGTGAAGCGTGAATGCTGTTTTTTATATGAACACAAAAGGCATCATCCTGCTTTCATAGAGTTCAAGTAATTTGTGTTCTGTGGGACCAAAGAGCATAAGAAGTAAGGCAAAATTAAGCAGGAGCTATTCTATCAATAATTAATGTTAGTCTGAGTCTGCAAAAAAGCAAAATAATTCTCAAGCAACAGAGTGAGTTACACTAAGTAGTGTTTTTTTGCGATCTGCACCACTAAACTAGGTAAAATTTCCCTATTTACTTGCTTTATTCTTAATCAGGTGTTGAGGAACTATGAGGTTCAATTAAATACTTATATACTGTATGTCTGTTTCACCTGTCAGAGATAGCTGGGTCAGCTGATGAGCCAAATGAGGCAGAAACAGCTATACGTAGCTCCTAACATCAGCACTACGCATACAGAAGTGAAATTAGAAGCCTGATTTTAAGGTTCTTCCCAAAAAACAAGAAACAGTCTTGATTAAAAGACCATTTCTTGATTTTGAGCTAATTAATATTCACATAACCTTGAAGTCAAAGTCACCATTTGCTCTTAAAAGTCTGAAATATGTTCTGTGTAAGATGCTTGTCTATTTTGGTAACATTATCTGTAGCCACACAATACAGAGAAAGAATTCCCAGAGCACAGTTGCCAAAGGAAAAACAGATGAAGAATGGGCTGAAATTTGCCGGTAGCACATTTTTCTTTAGAATTTCTTCGGTACAATTTGCTTTGACTTAACAGCAGGTTTTTACTGTCTTTTCCGTGTTCTGCAAGTCACAAGTTTGTCAGGTTATGTACTCACCTCCTTGACCGTGACCCAGATGATGTATGATGACACAATTTTAATGATGTGCAGTTCTAAGAGCCACCAGATAAACAACTGCAGTTTGTGAAAGTATTCAAGAAACTTCAGGAAAAGGACTGTCAGACGATCTATCACCAAATGCCATTTATTCTTGAGATCTGAAATTCAACAGAAAACTCCTGATATTTTACCGACAGCTTTTGTCTGGTACTGCAGAAATGTTTTGTTTTCAGTAGAAGATATTTCAGGCATGTTTCATATTGAAACTTTTCAAGATAAATCCGGTGTTTCATAGCAAGATAATGCAGTAAACATGGTTTCAATTCAGCCGGAAAGTACAAAGTGATTATATCTTGGACTTCACAATCTCACATAACCCTTTGATTCAGAATTTCGTTGGGGTTCTGTGTTTTGTTTCTGCCTCCTCTTACCAATGTGTGTATATACCTCTGAGCTTGACACTTGAACTGAAACCTATAGCCAATGCAGAGAAAATACCTATAAAAACTACTCAGTAGCTACTATCTATTGAGATATTATAACACTGCTGGAATTCATCAAAGGTCAATTTTATTTACAGAATTTACATGACCTAAGTGAACTTGTCATCACGCCACAGACCACGAAAAAAAAAAATCAAACGATTGGATTCTTTTCGGACAGCATTTAATAACAAGACCCCTGACCTTTGACGCAATACGACCTACGCCAAATCGCCTTGACAAGAGAGAAGAAACGCAGAGGCGGTGACGAGTGGCAGTTAAAATGAACTACCTGATGTGTCCTCAGTCGTCGTCTCTGTTCCTACACTGCAGTGTCTACTCTCTCCTTTGCTGCCCTCATCTAGCAGCTCCTTCTCGTTGGGCTTTTCCCCTCCTGCTTCCTGAGACATATCTTCTTCCTCCTCCTTCCTCGCCGGGTTGAGGCTGGAGCTCAGCATGGTGATGTCTGCCAAGCTGCCGTCCTGGTGGACCAGCCTGAGAATACAGGAGCACTGTGTCAATGGCAAGGCCTAGCCACGTGTCCCCAAACATCACTGTAGTGAATGACAAGCAGATTCATGAATCGACCTTCAGCGCTTTTCATTCTATGCCATGAAAGTGCTGCTTGAGCATAACAAACCTAAATTACAAGTGTAAGAGATTACCTTTTTCTGCAGACTTGAAAAACTATCGTGCAGTACTGTATATGCTTTGTTGGGTGCTCACAGTTATTTGGTTGCAGATAGTAGTAGCAATAATATAGTAATGCTTAAACTTGACATTTCCTCCTCAGAAGAGTGAAAATAGTCAGAGTTTAAGATTTGGAAGCATGAAATGACAGTATTGTATAACAAAGCGGGCATTTCATGTCTTCAGTAAACTTACTCATTCTGATGAGTGGATATTTTTTGCTTGATGCTGCTCACAGTAATTGACAAAAAGAAGAGAGATCAGAAGGAGAGCACATGTCAAGAACAATACACTCTGCATGCAGTTACATTGCTGCTGTAAAGCTGAGACAGAAAAGGAGACAAACCTCAATTTTAAGGGGTTAGAGGTTTTCTTAAAGTGGAATAAGTTTCCATTCTATACTTGAATAAAGTTAGTTTTGCAGTGATTAAAAAAATTAAAACAAGCACATTAGATATATGAACATTCTTTCTTTGTGTAAGAAATAATAGGAATAAGGTTTTTAATTACTTAATGAATTTTAAAAAAATCAAATAAATCATTTTTACAGTAGAGATCACGCACATTCCTAAAAAAATATTTTTAAGTTTTAGGGAACTCAGGGGAATAATTAAAAATAGATTTCTGTAATGACATTTCACAACAACGAGAAAAAAATGTTTAAAGCAACCAATAAATCATTTACATTTTCTTTGCCGACTCATTTACTGAAAATTCTGTGTATATGTAATCTCATATCCTAAGCCTTTAAAGATGTGGAATGAAGGGAAATATTAATATCTTGACAGGAAAAGAAAAACTTGTGTCATTAAAGCTTAGCTACTGTTCTTGGAAGGGACATTATTTTAAACAGATTAAGTGGAAAACCAAGATGCATTAAAAAACCAGGAGGTAATTGTAGATAAAAATAATGTTCAAGTTAAAAAGCAAAGAGAGGTAATTAAAAATCTAAATGCATCATGGACATGATAAGGACATGTCAATTATTGTGACTGAGCTCTTCTTTCACAACTTAAAACTTATTAAGGGAATTGTTGAATGACATGAAACAAGCTACAGCACTTATTATTAAGCTTATTGTTGCTTAAGTATAAGTATAAATACTAATAATGCCACTTTTAATACTAATAATATTTATGTTTAGCAAGTTGTAATATTTATATTTTTCAGTGCACAATATCCCTCAAAGAAAAGGTTCACCTTTTCATCTAAATGGGTTGCGTTTATAGTGGTTACCTTTTTTAACCTGTCTATCTAAAAAGTGTGAGCTTTTAGCAATTTTACATATTTTCTATGCCCTTTCAAATCGATTAAACAGATTCAATCATTAAGACAGACTAAATTAGCATCTTTCAGAAAACGCAAACATTCAGTAAGTCCCACCCACCCATTTCAAAGTACTAAAATGACACATCTCTACCACTATCACTAAATTAAATCTTTTTGCATATTTATTTTGATGATTATTTTATTAATTGATTAATTGCTCTAAATAGAAAAAAACGAAGCAGAGTCAAGGTCTGTTTAAATTAAATAGCTTCAAAACGTGAATGCTTTGTCACAGTATTTTGTGTGAAACAAAAACATAAATATGGAAACTGCAAAGCCTACAAACAATACAACTGCTAAGAATAAAATACGAAGACAACAATAATTTAAATATTCTCTTTTTCCAAGCTGACATGATATCCAGGAAAGTCAGAAAACAGGTACCCACCTATTCATTATCAGATAAACACGACCATTGACTTTGGCATGGCTACACGATGCAACATGGAATTGGATGGCAAAGAAGAAATGAGAGACAGAAGGAAGAATAAAGAGTCATGACAAACACAGCAACGCAGAAATGACAGCATGGTTAGGTAAATTTCACTGGCAAAGCAGGACAGCGCATGAATGAACTGTCTTTATGGAAAATGGCGCATGCACTATGCATTGGCACACTGATCTATGCACTGTATACACTCCATTCCAAAGGAAAGAGTTATTCAAATGCATTGTACATGTGACATACAGAATACAATACCACAGGTATATAGAATAGGTATTCAACAGTTCAGACAACAGAACTTCAGAGAGAGGACCTTAGCCTGGATTGAAGCAAAACATCGACAAACGGAAATGACAAAACCTGATGGCAGATTTCCAGTGGGTACAACAAAGCCACCAGCCAGAGCGGGGTTAGTAATTTTGGATTGGCCTGTGGATCAAAGTTATGAATTCATCCAGTGTTTTAGTCTTCTGAAAAATAGGATGACGAAAACTCTCAGCCTGACATTGCCTCCGGCCTGGAGGAACAGGGAAAATGAATGTGCTCTGATTGTACAGAGGACTGAAATTCCTGTCCTGAACACTCCTGGGCTATATTTTCTTTCTATCGCTCACAAATTCTGAAAATTGTTTAAACAGTCATTAACTTTGTTCAGCCGTAGCCGGAGACTGAAATGAACCTTGTCAATTTAATGTGTTTTTGAGTTGTTGTTATTAATTTTACGGCCTTAGGGATTGTTTCATTTTAATTTGCAATTTGGTCAGCCTGGACGCCTGTCAAACAGAATTTACAGGCTTTTCTCTTTAAATCTTAAAATGCTTAAGACTTTTAGATCAATCATGCGAATGCGTCACTTAAGCAAAGCAGCAGTTCAAATGATGTATTTAAGAGCTCGGGTAGAATGAAACAAATCAAAACATCTGAGGATGCTTGAGCAGTAGAGATGGAGAACTATGCATTCCTCATACTATTTCTGTTCACTAACAATAACCCCAAAAAAGCATGATGTTGAATGGTGAAGAAGATCATGTAATCTCTCCATGAGTGTAAACTGTTAAAACTTTACGGCAAAGATGTTTCCAAATATTAGTTATGCAAACAGAGCAATAGTGAGGACTTTCAACTGGAGACTTTGGCTATGCTTACATGCAGGTCTGAAGTTCCCTGATTGATCTACTATTGTCCTACCAATGTGTTGTAGCATATCCACATCATGCATATTCTGTAACACACAGTATAGGAAAAGCAGAGCAAAATCCCTTTTTTCACATTTACAGTACAAAACAAAAGAAAAAGAAAAAAATAAAACCATATAGGATTACTACACTTCATCAGAAAAGGTTTTCCAAACATAATGGCACTGTACTTTTTAACAGAAAGTGCAGTGCCATAATTTTTTTTAACACCAAGAAATTTAAGGCCTTAAACTGTTGAATAGCTCCAGAAGAAAAATATTTGATTTAAATGGTTTGATATCGTTTTTATACCTCAACAATTGGTTAAATGCTTCCCAGCCCTATATTGAGAGATCTGATTGTTTTTTTTTATTTCTCTGAGGTTATGTTATATAAAAGCAATATATCCTGACACAGTTTCAGTTCTGCGTTTGCTGGAGCAGTTTCATGTGTCTTCTCCCACAGTTATGTTATTCACAAGGTAATTTGCCTTTTTAGCAGAAATGGGGGAGAGGTGACAGCAGCAGAGTGTTTGCTGAGCCTCTTGACTGATAACCGACGGGTTATTTGTTATTGAAATTCCTGTGTTGAACCCCTGAGTAAAACACTTTACCCAACTTGGTCCAAACCAGCCAGGTCGACAGTATAAGCCTTGCTGGGGGGAATCATGCAATGGATTGGCACCCCACCCTGAGGGGGATGAGGGCCTTCGTTTAGCATTTTAGATTTTAGCACGTAAACATAGCCGTAGTAAACACAGAGACAGAGCATGAAGAGTACAGTTCTGCCGAAGAATTGTGAATGAGCCATGGAGTGGATTTGAAAGACGCGGACAAACATATGGATAATAAGTTACAGAGTTAAAAATCACGCAAAGCCTTTTCAATTTGATATATGCATTGCTTATTCAGCGCAATAACAAACTGTCTTCTGATCAGTAATCCTTTCGGATTGTAAAAATTCGCCTAAGGTTCTAAATCAACTGAAAAAAGGCAGAAATCCTGAAACATTTGAGTTCTCATTCTTTCATCAGATAAAACTGCTACCCGTTTAACTACATTCTGTAAAAGCTATTTCTTCAACCTTCCCACCTGTTAATGGCTGAATAAGAACTGAACTGTGGTGTGTTCATCTCTCACCTGTACACAGTGCAGTCCTGCTTCGCAGCCACAGCCTTCAGGTCAGTCAGCTGCAGGAAGCGCTCGTGAAAATAGTGCAAGTGCAGAATGCACACTAGCAGGAAGCAGGTGGGGATAAATATTCTTGTGAACAGGGCCGACACAGTGAACTGCTCAAGTCCCAGGTCTTCCAGTCTGTGAAGTAAAACAGGAAAGAGAATCCACATCCTCCGAATGCCAACAGCACAACACAGTGCAGGACATGCTGTGTGGGTTTTTTGACGTACCTTCCCAGGTAATAACTGTGATTTAAATACTGTACATTTTTGTCTACACAGACTGCTGATTCTTTTGGCGGTTGCTTAATCACTTTGACTGAATTAAGTCAAATGATTCCTGTTAAAATTTTACACAAAACTCTACATCAGGGGTTTGTATCTTTTTTTTTTAAGAATGTGACTACATCTGAGTACAAACCTAGCTAGGAAAACAAACAACAACAACCTTCTGTTTTTTCATTGTATGGACTGAGATATGTTTGTCGGCACATTTAAGAAAAACAAGAAACAAAAAATCTTAGAGAAAGGCAAAGTGGTTGTCAGTACTATTTGATTGACAGGTCTGACGCAAAATAACTTTGATTTTTCTTTCTTTTTTCAATCTTTCCTAACTAGTTCTTCACTGGACACAGTCTCCGGCACAGATTCCCTGATGAGTCAGATACAGTACGTGCCCATACCCACGTGCCCGATATTCGGAATTCCCTCAGGGCAGTGGAGGGACTGTCGATGAGTAGCTGCACTCTCGTACTCACTTTTCCTTATTCAGGCCAGTCATATTTGACCAGACACGGAGGGATGAGTCAAACTGAAAGGTGTAGACAAGGACGAGGACCAGCATGGTATAAACCACAACTGACATCCAGAAATACTTCAGAATTCTCCGCCACCAGTCATAATGCACCTGGAAGAAAGAATGTGTTTTTTTTAAATATCAAAATTTAAAAAAAAATTAATATTTTTCCACAGCCTGTGTTGTGTATGAAAGTGAGCTAAGTGATCCCAATGTTTCCAGGCAAATATTAAGCCTGAAAAATGTATGAATTTTGGACCTTTAGAGCAGGGGATTTTAATCTCCTCTGATTTGTTGGTTTTTCTTCCTCCTGAAATATCTAACGGGCCCTTTAATTCAAATAATGATGTAGCCAGACTGCAACTATTTACATCTTTCTAAACAGTTAAGAAACATTACAGATTTAGCAAGCAAAGGTGTCATCTAGTGGACACAGAATGCAAACAGACAGGGGGTTTCTGGACAGTACCCACAAGCCCCTGGTGTATAGAATGGCTGTTTTGTTCTTGCCTTGTACCCACTGGAGACAGCTGCTACGCGGCAGTGACATGAGAGATTCTGTTAAAATCAATAATCTCGTCAAATAATTCGCAGCATGAGTGAGTGTTGCATAACTGTACTAATTAGGACAGGCTCGATTACAGAAACATGCATATTGATGTAACTGCACTATAACTTGTGTTGTAACTAATGTAACACTGTGCTGTGTATAAAATCACAATTATACACAACTCAAACCCTAAAGATGAGGTTTTTCTGTTAGTAGGTGACTGGAAATATCTGAAAACGAAAACACTTGATCCCGTGCAGGAGCTGTAGTACTACAGCCCTGATACTGCGTGCAGTACCCTCTGTAAAACAAAGCACTTATCCCTTACAGTAATCCCATCAGTGGTCTGGAGAACAGGACCTTTTAATTTAACTATGTGTCAATGGAAAGAATATTAAATTAAACTCAATTCAATGCTTTTCATTTTCTGATCCGTGCATTAGTTATTTAATGAGTTTTTAATGATAGAAATGAAGTCTCTAAACAGATAATAAGACAGAGACCCTTGGCACTGGGCTGGTGATGGGGCATGCACTGCAACCTTGCTCCTCTACACTGCATAACCATTCTAAAGGTACATACAGTAATACGGTAGATTACTGTTTGAAGCAAACATTGGCTTAAACCACTGTACTGTGACAGTAAAGTCTGAGGACTGATTCTGTGGCAGACCAATGACTCTTAGCAGTAAGGTTCAGGGCCATTATCTGCTACTGTACATCTGCCTAGACGTGTGCAGGGAAAGATCTCACCTGATACAGTGCAACACAGAAGAGAAAGAGCATCATGTAGATGATCTTGTACATGACAATTTTTCCCTCAAAGCTGACGAAGAAGAACATGCCTCCGCAGATGTAGATCCAGTACTTCACAAACATGCCCATCACCATGTTGCCTAGAACCTGCATTATTTCTTTGTTGCCACCGTTTTCCTCATCTTCCTCCTCCTCTATAAAAAAAAATCAGAGGCACTTCACAGCCCTGCAATGAACTGCTCGTTCAGGTTAAACTAACACAATCTACATTCAAGGGACCAACACCTCAGTGAAAAACAACACAAAACAAAATATGGCATAAACTGTAATATTCCATGAGTCTAAAGTTACAGCTTCTCCTTATTTTGACTTTTTTGTTTAAATGTGGAGCACACTATGCTAGGTGGATACTTTTCTATAGACCTACCAGGGTATACAGTAGGGGTACATGCATACAGATACAAATTCATAAAGTCCATATGGAGCCTGAACAAACACAGGGACTGATTTCCACCCCTTCAGGTCCACCGCATGAACACTAGCACTGCAATCTCTGGGGCCACATCTGGAACATCTGCAATACTATAGTGACCCTAAATGATGAGCAGAAAGGCATGGCAGCCAGGAGAATAGCCAATGCATTTTGCTCCACTTTTCAATGAGTACAGTATTCCTTAGTTTTGCTCATCTGCAATATTGTAGAATACTCTCATGCACCCTCAGAAAAAAAGAAGGGTCACATTGCTTGATTAGTCCGCTCGAGTATTGAGGTCCTGCTTGCAGCCATTTTGTGGTGTGTGTCTCACTTCCTTCCTTACCAGTCTTCTGACTGTCCACTCTGACATCAGTTAACACAGCTTCTTCTTGCAGCTTCTCCTGCTTCTCCATCAGATGCTGGCGCAACAGCAGCCAAAAGCTCAGCAAACACAGAATCTGCCGATACAGCATTAGTTTACTGAAATCAGCTCCACGATCAGGCGTCTACTGTAACTTGCGCTTTGGAAATGCTGTGGACCCCTTGCAGATATGAGTGCCCTGGGTTTTGTCTGCAACATGGACATTAAACACTGGGGAGACCGCAGCTCTCATTTTTAACTCTATAACTTACTATCCATATGTTTGTCCACATCTTTCAAAAACCACCTTATGGCTTCATTTCTAGAAACTGGAAGTTAAGTTGCAGTCTCAGTCATGTTGTACCTTAGTCACATATTCTATAGGAGTGGACATCAGTAGTGTCATTCTATAGTGTCTTCATCAGTCAATGGTCAATTTATAAAGGGATCACTGAGTTTTCTCAGTACTAAACCTGATGTGTAATGTGCACACAGGTATTATGCTGTGGGCTGAAATGCAGACACAGAGCCTTAGTCCAAAAGGTCTGGCTCCACAATTGCACACAATATGAGAAACGGTACATTTCAAAGAAACGAGTGAACTGAAGCCACATATACAGTACATACATTTCTCATAGGTATAGTATGAGCTGTAACATATATATGATAAAAGTACAAAATAATAACACTGTATGTTGGGTTCACAGAGGGAGGCTACATTAAGGGCAGGGGGATAAACTGTGAAGAAGCTTCCCAAGGTGTCTTAAACAGTGCTTAGAAATGTGAAAAAAGGCCATAGGACATAAGGTTTGAGAGAACTTAAAAATGATCACAATATTTGCAAAAAACACATGAGATATCATGGTGTTGGGCAGTTTTATTTGGATCCGCATTGTGTGAATTCCCTGAGATTTGGAAACATTGATATAAAGATTGCTGTGGTGGATGGGTGCAGGTGATATTTCAAAGTAGAAGTAAAGTGCTAGTGAAGAGTGGGACAGAGTGACAGACACAACAGTGTGATGGGAAGCACAGTATCCCCCCCATCTTCCACAGGACGAAAGGTGTGGAAATATTCTTACATGCTATTAGGAACAAGAAGAAAGAAGTCAATGAAGATGACAAACACTAATGAAGGTCTAGCAGTAGTATTTGCGCACTCAGGAATAAACAATGACTCTTACAGCTATAACATCCACTTTAAATAAAAAAAAACGCACTGCTGTGCACCTTGACAGGAACGCACATTACCTTCGTTCCCAGTTCCTGAAAGGGTACTCCTTTCTTTAGGAAGAGTCCAGAAACCGGCTCGATGGGCTTAATGCTCCAGATGTACTGCAGGATCAGCAGCAGGTTCCCGTAGAAGACCATGAACGGAGAGGTCAGCATGGCGTATTTCCTCCTGTCGCGGACCATCCAGAGGGTGCAGGACCAGATCAGGAAGACAAAGGTGAGCCAGCTGACGTAGGTGATGCTCCACGCCTGCAGACACAAGGGCAACACTGGCTCGAAACATTCACCTGCAAAGCTAGACTCACGATGCTGATATCAACCACATACTGTATTAACTAAGAATTCGTCAGCTGGGAGACAGGCTTTAATTTCTTTAAATCCCAACTTGATATAAGGTGAAGCGGTGGCACTGTGGCTCCCACCACCAGTAGAGGAATCCTACTCCGTTGGGCCCCTGAGCAAGGCCCTGAATCCCAGCTGCTCCAGGGGCGCTGTATAAATGGCTGACCCTGCGCTCTGACCACAAGCTTCTCTCTGTCTCCCTGTCTGTGTGTCTCATGGAGAGCAAGCTGGGGTATGTGAAAAAGACAAATTCCTAATGCAAGAAATTGTATATGGCTAATAAAGTGATTTTATTCAATCAAATGAAAAACAAAAAAGATGATTGCATGTAAGATGCAAAAGAGCAAATGCACATCACAGTACAAATATGCTGAATGAACAGAAATGACCACATACACACTTCCAAATAAAGAAACATACAAATCAAAGAAAAGAACAGAAACCGGAATCTCATTCTCTAAAACCCTCCTGCCTGCATCTGCATGTTCTAATTACCATATTTTTACAAGACCACTGAGTATGGAGAAAGCAGGAATGCATCATGAAGATAACATTTTCAACCAACTTAAATACTGCCGACGCTTGCTGGGTAGAAACTGTAGAAAACACAGAGCCTTCTAAATTTCAGCCATTGTCTTGAACAGACCTTGTAGTACTCTGTTTCTTCATGCAGAAGTTTGTGCAGTAACAGTTCTACACTGTAACCTAAAATGTATCCCTTGAATGGCTTTTTACTTACCATCATAGCTATTAAAGCACAGATGTAGCTTTGCTTCATGATAAACCTGAAGATTGTTACCAAAGCATTCACTTTTGGGTTCTCAATTTCCTCTGACATCTCATCAGCATCTTCAAGAACTTCAGAGAGACTATCTTCTTTTTTCTCTGTAGAGCAAAATAAAGCCAGGTCACATGCAAGGGAATAGTCACAATTTAAATTAATGCAGCAGCTGTGATAATATGTAACCTTGGTTTTACCGTTGTGTTCTAAGCTCCTGAACAATCTTTTGTTCCTATTAGTCTTGTACTTTCCATAGGTTTTCATGCAGTGTTTTGTAAAAAAATAAAGTGGGATGTAACCCACCTGGTTCATCATCTACTTGGTCAATCCTGTATTGTGGCGTGGAGTAGGTGTCTAGTTGTCTTGGCCCATTCTCAATAGCCAAAGGAGTTGATAAGTTGTGGTAATCAATAGTTGTTCCATTTGCTGTAACTAAGGGTACCTGTGGAACAATTTGAAATATTACTTTATTTTTTCAGAAGAGATTATAAGAAATACATGAAAATATTTGCATTGGTTTTTAAAAGCTTACCAAAACATTAATTAAAAATATATTATTACAGTACCTTTTAAAGTGAATAAGAAGTTAGAGGAAAATAATTTCAGTCATCAGTTATATTGTGTGTTGTTACTCTGTGAAGTACCTTTTAAAACAATCTCCACTGGCTACTTATTACTCTATTAAAGTTATGTTTTATACAAGTAACATGCAACTGTAATGGGTTACTTTTTAAAAGTAACTTTTCTGAAAACTGTTTTCGTGTCATACATTGACCACAGCACATTCTGTAGAGTAACAGCACCACGCTTTTTTAATAAATAATCAAATTAATGGGAGAGCATGTGACACAAAGCATTTTCTATGTATCAAAACACTGACAGACAGATAGAAGAAAATCTGTATTTAAAAGATTGTTCTTTCTGAAATAAAATAAAAATAACTGATGGCATGGTTAAGGACAGTCCTGGGGATTTAAAATCGCATTGTGCTCCACAGATTTTTTTTGCCTAGTGCAAAATATCTTACTCTTGCCAAAGACAAGGCTAAGGGATTAGATACTAACATCAGATGTGCTGTATCCATCCTGAGTGGAAAGAAGCTGTAAAACAGCAAACAGTGCAAGGCAGGTTATTGATGCGCTCAGACATTCAAAGGCATGAACTTTTGTTATCTTTTTCTAAGCATGAACACGGCAGCCAAGCAGTGCTTTGTACATAGCACACTGTATCTCATTCAGCCAAACTGCTAGAATAAAAAGACTGAAGGGTTCTGAGCAAGCCAGAAGAAGATATGGATGCAATATACGTATGTTACTCATCTTGTAGTTACATCCTGTTAACGCAAGCTACATACAGCAGCACACAAATCCATTTGGACAGTGTTGTTAGAAGCAGAACTGTTTGGGATTCATCCGATCATCAGCACTGGGAAGAGAACTTGGTGTGAACTAAATGTGGGCAGTGAGCTAAAAACTCCAGTGTCCTTCTTCTGCATAGTATTGCAACAAATGTTGGCATCTTGGTTTTCACCCTTGAATCTTGATCTTGTAAGTGTTTTTGAATTGCTCACTAACATCCCTTTTCATTCTGTTGTATATTTCATTTCTCATGTCAAATATTTTATCATAAACAGAGAACCGTTTGGGGACAGTCAAACACTTTTTCTGTGACATTTCACAGACATTTTCCTTGATCTTCCACATCTGTCATTAGTTCCAGAGGTTCTGCTCTTCTGATTGTCAGTATTAACAAAATCCCATTTTCTTGATAGTTACATATTTCTACAATAATCCTCAAGAGCTGGTTTTCAATCATGACAACCATCAATAATTAGCTAAATCAATTAGTCTTGAAATATGTCACTGCCCAAATGTGTTTAAGTATGGAATTCCTTCTTATCCTCTTTTCCTTTTAATGTATCTTAGATAACATTTCATCTTATAACAAACTCTATATAAGCTGTAACTCAATATAAGTTTCTCTGTGCATTTTCATTTTTTTTGCCTGTGACTGTAAATATATCAATAATTATTTGTTTGTTGAGGGCTCTGAACTCACAATTTAACATCTGAAACTGTGAGACAGAAAATGGTTTTAAAATGGTGTTTAATGCTGCTCTTAGAAGAAACAGGCATTAAACTTTTAAGCAAATAAATTTGTAGACTGATCAAGACCTCATGCTGAACTCATGGATTAATGTCATTAAATTTAGGGACAACTTTCAAATTATAAATATGTTGGTGAATGGCACTCAATAACCAGAAAGTCAATAGAAATGTTGATCTTTCACGAAGCTCTCTTAATTTCCTAATTTTCATTTAAATAATGTAGTCACACTGCTGTCTTTTAGTGCTGTGGATCTGTCTGCTTACTTTGCCAGTTTAGATCAACAGAGGTTGGAGTCCACAGTAGGACTGGAGTTATTTAATCAAACACTATCCACCTTGTTACACCACTTAGATGATGTCACTCTTGTTAATCTAACCAGACGGGGTGATACGGAAGGGTCTGACTCCTTCGTGAACGTGTCCTTACACCCCTACACATCATTTCTGTTCTAAGCTCTCTGGCTGTTTTCCATTTCCCAGAACGAGACTTCTGATCCTGGGGGAGTGTTCAGTTCTGTTGATCCAAGGCTGAGGAATGATCTCCCAACACAGACAGCATTACTGTAGATCTTGCAAGTCAGTCCAGCGCTTTCAAATCCTTTCTTAAAACTTCATTCCACGTAAGCTTTTCATTTCATTTAATTTATTGTTCTTCATATTCATGTCATACTGTAAGCAGGCAGCTGCGTCAGCACGTGCAAAGGAGCAGGCAAAGGTTTACTCCATGCTGAAAAGAGAAGACAAGAAACGCAACGTTTCGGCTTCTTCGCATCTGAAGAAGGCTCCACAGCCGAAATGCTGTGTTTCTTTTGTTCTCTTTTTGGCATACATGTCACTTTTTGTCCTTTCCTCGTTTTGTAGAGTGAATTGATATAATGTGTCGTGAAAGGTGCCACATAATTATAAAGATGATAAATGCCTGTTAAGAAACCCCATTAACGATTTATTGATACCACTTTTGTAAATTCCTATGTGTCGGCCAGAGATGTCAAGCTCTCTGTTTTAGTAATGTTTCAATAAGCACATATGCTGATTTGGGGAAAAGAGCACTCGCTCCCTACATTTCTCTCCTCCGTGTTACAGTGCGCATTTCGCCATATCTGTCGCTTCTTCTCCGCTGTACTGGCCATCTCATTGCACATGATCTCCTTTTCGTCCTCCTCAGTCTCATTCTTTTCTTCTTCATCATCGTCATAGTACATCTAGGAGAAACACACGGACAAAAACACTTGGGAGGGGGGGGGTGGGAGGATATCTCCGGCACGATCTTGCCTCTCCTTTTCAACAGTGATTTACACTTACACAAGACTACTCGAAAAAATTCTTCGTTAAGCTTCGTTAAGTTTCCTTTGAACTCCTTAAGAAAGAAAACCAGGCCAGACCCTGTTAGTGAACATGCTAGTGGATTCACAGACCTTCATCAGCACTAATCTTGCTCGTATGTCAGTTCACGTAAACAATGCTAGGTGTTTGGGTATAATCATGGTTATCTCGGTGAACCAGACCCTGCTGTCTTTAATAAGCAATAAATCATTCGAGTAGTTGTTAGGCCTCTAGACCTATTAACAGCAGGATATATGGATTTTCAATTGGAACAAAGCAAACACGCAGTAGATAACGATTTCTTAGACCATCAAACCCCTTTTATTGAAAGCTACAGTATGTCTGTATGTTGCAAAGTATATTGCTTGCCTTGATTTGCATCAGACTTTTCACGTCAACAACTCTATGAATGCATTACTTGGATTTAATAAGTTCCTTACTTTATTACTGTATGTTTGCCTGTTTTGTCTTTTCTGGACCAGTATTGTTGTAGCAAAGTTATATAAACTGAACGTTTGTACTGTATAATGAGGGGTGAGTGAATATAGTAATTATTTTTTATCAGTTACTGAACGAGATAACATAATGTTCTTTTCAACAGACCAGAGATCAACCTAAGATACAATAATTGCAACTGTTATAGTTCTAAATAATTATGGTTAATAATACTAAAACGCGTCACTAACTCAGTTTTACTAAATTTTTCACAGAAGACACAATATCTGTTTCTAAGGAAGGTATCCCATTGTATAATATCTACCAAAAACTCAAAGCACTACAAATACTGTGAATAATACTACAGTATGTAATGGTTGCGTATAAGATTTGGATAATTTTTTGGTATGTGTACGTATAGCCCACTTGATGTACTGTAAATTTAAATTAAATCTGGCCTGTATAGGAAATGAGTTTTGACAAATCTGCTGTAATCTGTCTTCACCAATGATGAAGCACCTTGAAGCTATATTTTTCTATTTGTATTGTATATGTATCGCGAAGCAGAGGGGTAGAGGGGGTTAATTTTGTCGCCGATGAAAAGGAAAACTGCAATTTTAACATTGTTTTATGAAAACAATTCATACATCAGTATCAATTTCCTTAGACAGTTCTATTTGTAATAGCATAAATTACATCAATAAAGATATCCAAAGTTGATACGTTAATTCCCTACACATGAGAGTGATTCGTGTTAACTCAAATATTGATATGTTATTAGTTTTGTAGCATTAAAATATTGAACAGTGAACAATAATTGAAAAATAAATCATTCCTTTTCCTATGAGTCCATGAGAGGGCGAGAGGGCTGGTTTAGTGGGGTGTGACAGGGGCTTTTCCAACTTGAATTTGATACCTCTTTCTTTGGAGAGGGTGTTATGTTTCTGAATGGATCAATGAAACGGTACTGAAACACGAAATGTCAGCTCATTTCGTTTCTTCCTGCGTGCAGATTTATACAATAATCCTATTTTTAATGCTGCTTTGTTTTAAAAGCAGGAGAAAAACAACCTGCTGCAATCAATCGTGTGTAGCGTGTAATTGCCAACTGGTTTATAGGGGATAATCGATTATCCCATAAAGTTAGGAACTGGAACCTGTTATTTTACCGGAATGAAATGAGACTCATACTCACTTTTTTATAACGTTATAAATAAAGATCATGACATGATGATGAAAGCAGGGGTCTTAAACAGCCTACGCAGCAGACGACTTACTTCATCGGTGGGCTCTTGAAGCCAGAGGCGGATGAGGGTGGCCAGAGTGTAGTACAACACCAGAATCATGATGGGGCTGACATAGTGGTACCACTCCAGTTCGTGGTTAGCTATAATCATCCATGTATATGAACAGTTGGTCTGAATTACAGAGGATATGCCAAACCAACTGTGAACAAAACAAAACAAAAACAAAACAAAACAAAGTGTTATGAACATGAAAGGGAGACGCGGTCCTCTTTTTGTAAAACACGGTGCTCAGCCCACAGGTTGGGTCTACATGTTGTCAGTTTAAATGCAGTCAGCGCCCCTTCTTCAACACAAGAGCAAGTGCAATTCTGCATGAGGAGCTCCCCCTGCCCCTGCTGGGACTCAGTCCTGGTCCCTAGACAGTGGATAACTCGGCCATGTGAAAAGACAGACGGTTTCAGTAGTTCAAGTAGGCAGCTGCGTCAGCATGCGTAGGCTGCAAAGGAACAAGTGAAGGTTTATATCCTGCTGAAAAGGGAAGAAAAGAAACACAACCTTTATGGCTGTGGAGCCTTCTTCAGGTGTCAGACAGAGTTTTATACTGTTTGAATTTCACAGGAGGGTGACATCACTTCTGTACCTCATTCGGTGCCCTGAGCCCGCTGACACAGGCTGTTAAACGCCCAGGGCCCAAGTGAGAAACAGATCACTAATTCTAGTAATTAACATCTGGGCTGGTTGTGCTGTGGAAAGCGGAGCAGAAGTGACTCCGAGCTTCTAGCCATGATTTCTGGGTATCTTGTGAAATGCGGAGCTGTCTGCCTGCTGTGTCCGTACCCTGCTTTCCTGTATCTTATACTGCTGAAACAATGCTGGCCCGAGACCAAACCGTTCTGCCAAAGACCACAGAGAGCACAACCACATCACTCTGCAGCCCTTTCTGACACAAACAGAGCGAATCTCCAGACTGCAAGGCACCGTCCCAGTGGGTCTGCAAGCTATAACGGCGATGACAGTAATAGGTCACATTAAACAAGTTGTTGGAGATACAAGGAAAAAAAAACATCCAGTCTAAAAGTAAAATAAAATAATGTTGAATCCATAGATAACATTAATAAATAACACACTTATTTAACTATCTGTTTATTTCTAAAAGGATGCAAAAATGTAAATATTTGAGTATTGTCTCTCGAGCAGTCATTTGAGCAAGCCCATTACACAGGGGGGCTTTTTCCTTTTTGTCATGTTCCTCTGTGAAGACAGAAGATGTCAAAAGTGAAATTTAGATGTCTAGCTAAAGGACAGCCAATAAGGCTTTTAGTTAGGTTACTCAGTCGTGTCTAAATGTTGTGCTCTCACAATTAATTTAACTACAAACAAAAAATACTCACACTACACACATCTCAGTGTCATCTCACATCTGACATAATTATTGTCAATAAAAATAATGTTTGCTGTAGCTGAGTATATGTATATGAATATACATTAAATAAAGTAATGGTTTATTAATTCACTCATTCAATCTCCCACTTACTTATTATTTATGTACTTCTTTGTAACTTGGCTTAATGCTCATGTAAATGGAAAGACACAGATGGTCTCATAAGACCATCTCATCCCCAGACTGAATACCAGTAATAATAATAATTGCTTACACTTATAAAGCGCTTTTCTGGACACTCCACTCAAAGCGCTTTACAGGTAATAGGGACTCCTCTCCACCACCACCAGTGTGCAGCCCCACCTGGCTGCTACGGTAGCCATAATGCGTTCAGATATGGGGATTATTTGGAGGCCATGATGGGTAAGGACCAATGGGATATTTGGCCAGAACACTGGGGTTACACCTCTACTCTTTTCAAGAAATGCCATGGGATTTTTAATGACCACATCTCATCTGAAGGACTGCACCTGTTTACAGTATAGTGTCCCCGTCACTATACTGGGGCCTTAGGACCCACACAAACCACAGGGTGAGCGCCCCCTGCTGGCCGCATTAATGCCTCTTCCAGCAGCAGCCTCAGCTTTCCCAGGAGTCTCCCCTCCAGGTACTGACCAGGCTCACACCTGCTTAGCTTCAGCGGGTTGCCAGTTGTGAGTTGCTGCTGGCTTTTCGATTAGTTATTAGCTCTTGATCAACCAATAATAACTAATCCAAAATTGTATGTTGCTTTTGTGAGGTAGCGCACCAGGAATCTAAAGCAAGACTAAGCACAATTTGGTATATAATAATACAGTACAAAACAACACTAAAAAAACACACAGAATGAAAACCTTAAAATGCTGCTACTGATCTCTGCCTCTGTTACCCATTTCTTCTCCATCAATCCACACTCAGTAATGTTTTCATACCAACACATAAGCAAACTGGTTGTGTTTCGATCTTGGCTTAACACAGAACATACTGTAGTACTAGCCAAGGGATATTCAGGAAATCTGAACATGGACATCAACATGGAACTGTAAAAGGTTATTAGAAACTCTAACAAAATGTTAGGTATGCAGTTTGCCTGTTTCTTAATAATCCTACATTTTGAAGAGGTCTGCATTACATAAATGAAACTGTATTATAGCTAAGTGTGTTTGATCTTGTTTAGAGAGACACAGAATTTGAATTCACATGCACCAAATATATCTTAACATCTTTAGTTTTATTTTGATTTGCTGCACAGAAAATGATAAATTTTACAGTTGCTGCACTACTGTTGGGTAATCTTTCTGAAACAGACTTATATTATGCCATTATTCTGCTAGTTATACGTTACAGCTACTGTACTGTATTTTAAAAGTGGTATTAATGGAAAAATACCCTCAAATTCTTTCTACCAAAAGGATAGTACACGCACTTGGCTCTAGTTGATGTGTGGAGTAACCACAAGAGTTTTTGGTACGACAGGAACGAATCCATAATGCTTAATGTGGAAAATTGGTAACAGTGCTTAATGCTCTTACCTACAAATTACTCCTTTAGAAATGTTGCAAATGCCAAGCCTTATTTTGTGATCGATTTTTTCTTAATATAAAACATAAAGCCGTGTCAGTAACATGCTTAATGTGAGATACACTTCCAAATTCCCAGAAACTTCATACCTTGGTAATTTATAAACACTAGTGCTTCAGAAATAGTTTCTCATTACAATACAGTAATAATTACAGAAAATGTACAAATAGCAGCATGCTTAATGTGTACTATACCTAAGATGAAAACAAATGCTTAATTTGTCTTAATATGTTTAAATTTAAAACAGTAGGACATTAAGCCACAAAACCATTTTACAGATTACATGGTTTAGTAGTTTTAGGAGTATGAAATGGTACAGTATAATTGTGAAAATAGAATAGGATTAGTCAATACACACAATTGAGAGCTTGAATAGTGTATTGAGGATATTCCTTAACTCTTTCCATCCCATAACCAAAATTATATTCAAGGAACATTGCTATAGAAACTTGTCACAATACAAACCTTAAACACAAATAACTGTGTGCTATTAAAAATAGGGGTTTCAGTCTGTTCACTCACTTCAATTTAAATTACTTTCTGCAGGACAGAAAAGCATTTTAAATGCGTTCTAAACTTGTCACAGATGTTTGCTAATTTTCTTATGGACAGTACATAGAGTATAACGGCCACCACAAGTGTATGTATTGAATAGGCTTACATTTTTTATGTGTTTTAGGATTTCGTTGTGTAAAGTTGACAGGCTTCCCTTCCAGTCTAGCAAAATTATTTGTTAGTTGTCATTTCACACTAAGCAGGTACTGCAGCCCCTGCGTCTTGCCCTAATTCCCCTAAGCTGCAACAACGAGGTAAAATAAAATGGCATACAATTCCCATCGGCCCCTTGTGCATTAAAAATAAAACTGTACAAATAATCCAGGCTTAACAACAAACAGTACAGCAGTCTGCTTGAACGGTCAATCAGAAGGAATTACTGGACAAATAGTTTTGAAACAAACCCAAGAGACCGCCATTACATTAGACTTGAACATAGCATATGCTCAAAAAGTGCTGCCAGCACAAACATTGTTTTACTCAGAAGTACATTCTTTTTGCCTGGAAGTCTGTCCATGGCTTTATGTTCTGTAGTTGTATTTTTTAAACATATGCGCATGTAGAAAAGGCAATTACTCAGCACAGCTGTTTAATTGCCGGAATGGCTGTGATTCTAAATTCCACACTAGAATGAACAAATATTGCACTGAAGCATACTGTATTCAGGACTACTTAATCTGAAAGTACCCCACTGTCGATAGTTAACGGTGGCCAAGTACGGAAACAATATTAGTCAGGAGTATTGCAGATTCCTGCAGATGGTTTGGATGTCTTAGAAAACAGGAACAGACATTAAGAAAGGTTAAAACAAGAAGCAATCATTTTGACCACCCTGCTTACTGGGTTGTTTCTTGAAATAACCCAGAAAATGATCTTATCTTCCTCGATCTTCCAACTTCTGACATATGGATTTGCGAAGGCATGCCTGAGTCTTTCGTTTGCTATCCAACACCTTGTTTATTTGGGACAGTGGTATGTTTCTCAATGAATGAAACAGAAAAGTCGACTGTTAACTGTGTAGGAGTAGTTCAAAGCACAAAGGAGCCTTGTGTGAAATACTGCAGGGTATGAACATGCTGTTATAGACACATTAGATAAGAAAAAAACGAACTCCAATACTCATTCTTGTTCTGGTAACAGTTTCAAATTAGTTTTTAGTGGAGGTTTTCAGATCCTTCTTTCTGTGGTCTCAGTGCTATCAGTTCTTGTATTTTCAAACTGCCAATTTTAACATGAAAGGAGCAAATGTCTCCTTTATTAATTTCCTAAATCAATCTGTATATGGACACTGGACATTCGGACTTCAAAGGATTTCCGTATGAGAATTACAGAGCAATTGGTTCCTGTAACACATTTTTAAAATGACATCCTTGATTTGCCTGTAGGTACCAAAATGAACTGTGTAATATAAGCTTAATGTGTTCTTGAACAGAAGTTCAGATGGAGGACACAGTGTAATTGTGGACTTTCAATTCCCTGTGCATAAAAGCTCACTGGCTGTGTATTTTTACTAGTTCCTTTCTCTCCAGCCAACTGTCACTGATGAGCAGTTCTCCCTACATCATACCTCATAGGTGAGGAGAAATGTGACAGCTCTGTCATTTCTTCAGCCAGGTGAGTTAAAGACAAAGTATTAAGCATAC